CCCACGTTTTATTGAATAGACAATATTTTTTTTCTGCCAAAATCCGTATAGAGTGGAAACTTACTTTAATATCATCGATGAGCACTGCTGGATCCGAGCTGACATAAAAATCCTTGACTTCAAAAAGAAGTGGATAACAGAGTACGGTGTCGCCGAATACACGAAACACTTTCGAAGTGGACAATGGACCAAATGGCCGTTGTGGCCGTCCGGACAAATTCATTTTTTTGTCTCGTCCAAGACATTCAAACACCTAAAAAATTGATTTTGTAATTTCTTCTTATATGTTTTTGGGGTTCCAGAAGGTTTCAAACAATGTGAACATGATGTCATTAGTACTGTAATTTCCGTTTTCCCGAATACCCAATCTCATCTCTTGTCCGAAAAATGTCTCGGGGCTACATCCAAAAAGAAAGTGACATTAGGGGTAATCTAGGTCATTTTCGGCATCCCTTTCGAAATTTTTCTCGAGAGAGAAAGAAAAACGACGAATCGTCTCGTCGTCGTTTTCTTCTTCTTCTTAACGTTCGTTACGATTCTTGATGCGTGTTAAGTTTTCATTCAAAAATCGGAAAGGAAGTGGAAAAAGAAGAAACGCTACAGTAAGCGGAAGAATTGCGTCGTTGCGATTGCTTTTCGGGATGCCACAGAATTCGAATTCTAATGACCAGCACCATATGTCTTAAAAAAGAGCTAAAAACTCGTACCACTTAAATATATAGAAAATAGTAACAAGAGAAGAACTAGGTTACTGTAGTTGTCGCTGTGGGACCTTCGGCCACCGCCATCGGTGTTTGTCTTCCACAGCTCCGATTTTTGTATCAGTATAATATTTTTTTTAAAATATACAGTCTCTATGAACCAGAAGAACTTTTCCATACAAAGTGGTTTTTCTAACTCCATAAAAAGCGATTTCCAGATCTGGTATTCCTTGAACCTAATTTTTTTTTTCAGATTCTGAATCGAAATAATTTCCATTCCCGTTTTGTCTCAATTCCTTCATTATCATATGTATGATATCCCTTCCGTGTCCTTGCCCAATGTGAAAACGACCTTTTCGTATTCTCATCAATCTCGAATGTCCTCGAATGTTTGGTACGATAGCAATCAACCCCCCGAAAGAAGAAGGAGGAGGTAAATTTGTAGAAAACTAAAGCGATGGAGAAGAAGACACGAAGAAGACAGTTGTCCTTCAATCGATTCTTATCTTCTTCTTCTTCTTCCACTACAACTATCCGTTTGATATACGGCACGAAGGAAGGAAGGACCGACACTTGCGTCATCGCCTCTACTCTCCGTTGCGACGGACGAACCAGACTCCTCATCATCAATCGTTTAGTGCACATTGCAATGGGCCTGTGTGCAATGAGTGTGCTCACATGTGTTTGTTCTGCAAAGAGTGAGCGGTGAACGCTCAAAAGATAGGAACTAATAGTTTGCCTAGCCAAATCCCTTCCCTACCTTTCGAATATCAGGCCAAACAACCGTCGTTTAGCTCTTTCCATTGCCGTACTGAACGATCTCATCCTTATATATATATATATATACTGGAGTGATGAGATGCGAATAGTAGGGCAATGGATATGGCGAGCATCAAACGGGTTCGCATCGGAAGGTAAGTACCAGAAGGTTTGAAGAGGCTGTGACCAATCGGTATATGTGAAGTAGGTCATACTAGGACGTTCGCCTGTCTCTTTAGACAAGAAAGCGGCGTATCCTGAAAGAATACACCGCGAACACAGAATAGAAGTACTGAAGGTAGCGTTGGTGGAAGGGGAAGAGGACGATTGGACGGCCGAGTGGGGGAAAGATTGGGGAGGAGGAAGGTAAGCGGAGCGAGAGAGAAGTGGTGATGGAATGTGGGCACTGTTCTCTGACCCGGCCTATTTATACCGCATCGCGGTCGCTCTCGGTTCGCCTCTTTTTTTCTCTGCCGTCTCCTACTCTCTAACGATAGATTGAAAGAGGGGAGGCGGTGCTTGTTCGTTGGGGCTCCACCCATCTTTTCATCGATATCGATTGTCCACGTGTACCTGATGGTTCCAGACCAGAGGGAATGACAATGATAAGGCGATGATGGATCATAGAAGAATTTGACAGGGAAGTCAGGCGATAATTTATATAGTTGTGGATTTTAGAATCTAACAACCAATTGTACAAGATTACTGTAGGTATGCAGTTCAATATATCCGGAGAAGCAAAATTAGACCAAAAGTTTTCAGGCGAGAACCCTGTCATGTTTGGATAACTAAACATGCATTTGCACATATATTCTGAAATCCTTCTGGAACAAGTTTTCATATTCTGACGCAGTTCTGGGTATCTGGAATATCGTATCTCGCTGGAGAATAATCTTTCCCTGTATCCCGCTCTACATAACTTCTGAAAATCAAGCTATAACCACTGTCGTCCCAACTTTATCCGTGCTCTCGTTTCAAGTATGATTCGAATCTTGGCAAAGATAAATGACTCAGTTCCGAACAGTTTCGTGTACAGACTCGGCCGGTCGGCGCCTCGACCGGCTAGTTCAAACATACACACGCACTATATATGTGTTTACAATTTGTGAGCGGAGTGAGCGGGGGCTTGCGCTCCGTACTACTACCATCATCATCACTACCGTCTTCTTCTCATCGCCAAATAAGTACGCGTACCGCGCTCCCCTTTCTCGGTCGCCGCTTCAGCTACAGTGGGTCTTGGCCCAAAACGAAGTATGTGTGTCTATCTATCTGTATCTATCGGGTCGGTTCGTCAGCAGCGATTGGTTAGTAGTGTGGGGACGCATTATGTACATGAAACGTACAAAACTATGCATCGTGTGGGTTGTTTCCACTCTGTCTTCTTCTTCTTCTTGGCTTGGCTTGGTCTACCTTATCATATCTTTTTGTGTGTTAATAGTAGTGATAGACAGCGAAATTTGTGTTTGTCGGGTAGAGAGATAGAGCATAGTGAGTATCCGATTGGAAGAGACAGAAGACGGAATAGGTGACAACTGACACATTGCACATTGCGATTGCGAGAGGAAAGAGCATTTTGCACAATTTCTAATTACACTGGACACGTCGGAAGAAGGGATATGTGTGGAGTAACATACTTCTCAGAGAAAACTATGGAATAACCTGATTGCCTGATTGATGGGATCGCTTCGGTGATAAACAGGCATCAAGTAAGAAATGTAGAGATGACCTTCAGGCATTCTTCAAAAGGAATCCGTTCTCAATGACATTTAAACGTTAGACATTGATGGATGTTCACCGAGTTTCTAATCGAGGTGCCAATCAAACTCCCAACCCATCCTCACCTTGACCATTCTCCAACTCGGCCATATCTGAACTGGTTCGACTTCATGAGGAGTTTGCGTCGTGATTCCATATGTCGACAACATCATCTGAAGGCGCGACGACTCGGAAATGAGAGCCACCTGGACCACTGGATCTCCTTCCATACTTCCCTGAAACTAATCATTTTTGAAGCCTGGCCTATCTGGAATATAAAACCTGGAATGCAGAATGTCGATTGAACATCTTGGGACGCTGACTTGCAGGAAGGTGTCGATTGATCGGATCTATATCTCCAGAATGAATTAGGCCTTCTCGTTTCAGCATCAGAATGATATAGATGGCGTTGCTCCACAAATGATGTCCGAACTCTTGATGGCTCAGCGCATAAAGTTCGGTAGAGTTCGGCTGAGATCGCTCTTTATCCATGAGGAATTCATCAACACAGTAGCATTCGGGAACGATATATCCACCAGGAACCGAGTCATCAGCCACAAGACATTTTTGAAGCTTTTTGAAGTAGATGTCACCGTATTCTTGGTTGGCGCGAATGTATGCTTAAAGATGTTAGATTTTAAATTCTGGTCTGATTAAAATTCCGCGTACCAGTGAGAGAGATACAAGCTAAAAATATAGGAAACTGTGATTCGACACTCTGGAACTGCGCAGTCTCGTGTTCATCATAGAAGCTCTTGCTGTTGTCCTCCAACTCGGTCCTGTATCCATCTCGATGAAACCTGCAATTCCAGCTTCCAGTATTTTCTAGCAATCATATATTTTAAATTCTCTTTTCTCCTCATCTCACACTATCAATGTACACTTTCGTTATCAGTTTTCTATCATCAATTTTCTGGCCCCGATTTGCATTATAACGGTCATTTCTCTAGCTCACTCTCTCCCTTTCCCACACTCCATCTATCTGTGGTCGTGTCTCCAACACACCAATCGATTGATAACAATAAAAGAATAGATACTATATGTGTCTTTTTTCCTATTCACATGCAAATCGCTTTGTGTCTGTGTGTGCAAATTGTGCAGCGAAATGTGTATGGATAGAGAAGGCAAGAGAAACGGGGCGTCAGAGAAGAGATGGTACCGAGGGTCACCACCACCACTACCGCGATGCCTCCATCCTATTCATTCGATTTTATCGCATTTTGAAGGGAAGGGCGTTTGATTTATGGGAAAATGTGCAGAGTACCTACAGGAATACGGGCGAATGAAAAAAAAGAGATGGTGATCTGCAAAAAGACACCCTAAACTTTTTTATTGCACCGCAATCATTAGGGAAACGTTATTGTCCACATTTATTAGTGTGTGCGCACACGTTTGCATAAGAAAGAAGAAAGGAAGTCTCTCTATTCAAAATAACTGTTGTTCGAAGCAGGGAATGGCTTATTCATAATTTTCCGAAAAAAATATTTGAAAGAACTCTGATAGAAACTTGATTCCTAAAGAATATTCGGAAATATGGAAATATCCCTGTCGGAATTTTTCGGAATTCCGAAATCCGTTCCCAACATCCCTGGTTCGAGGAAGCACACTTTCGGCCTAAAACTCATTGGTACCAGGAAACGTTTCAGATATTCAAGGAAATTATGTGGAACACATCTTCAACTACTGGTCAGCACTCTCGGTGTTCCACAGATTGAAGCCAGCTAAGGATAGTCATGCACTTACCTTCTCAATCCGAACCTTCCTTCGAGCCTTCTGACACATTTTTTCATTGTTTTCTCGAACAAGGTCTCATCGTGTGTGGCAAACGCTGGCCATCCGACGGTGAGCAGTAATGCAGCATCCGTATTCTTAGAGTTGCTTTCACGAGGTAGAATTGTTTCGAACGTTGTTCGATTCCGGTTGTGACCATCAATATCAACGTAAATCACGGATGCTGATGTTCCAGTGCTTCCATACAAATTGAATCCATTGATGGCTTCAAGGGCAGCTTTTACAGTTCCTGAATTCAATTTTAACTTTCTCCATAATCCAAAACAGACACAACAAACCCAAGCTGCTGGCATGAAGTTCTGGTTTTCCGTTATTGTATCTTGTTCCTCGCTCCCACATTCCAAAATCCGGTGTACGGTAGGTACGCTCGATGTAGAAAACCAAATTTTGAATGAAGTTTACTTCATGGTGAGTGTAAATCACTTTAACCCCAGCCGAAATCATTTGTACAAGAGTGAGTAAGTATAGAGCTACAAGATCCATCTGAAGGTGTCCATAATGTGAATCGTTTGGTGTAACGAGACACATTCCGGAAGAGAGATCGAATCGAGCGTGGAGGGCGAATTCAGAAGAATTTTGAGACTTGAACGAATCCAACTGAAAATCAGAATCAAACATAAGCGAAACCTTTCAAATTGTGAGCTCACATGACTACTTTGCTGCATCCAACAAAACAAAATTCCTCTCATAGTTTTCACCGCCGTTTGCCTCAATTCTGTTTGGCGTCCACGATCATCATCCAGTCGTCTGAAAACTGATCTGTACTAGCACTTCCTTTATCACAAAATCTTACTTATAAGCTACCGAACAAGCCCAACAAGCTATTGCGCAGTAGATGCTGTCTTTCACATATCCAACATCGCGATCTTTCGAATATCTCGGAAATAATCCACTGGTAACACTTTGGCATTGCACAATCAGCTTTTGGGCTGAAATCGTCTGGTTTTGTGTTGCTTAGCTGCATGAACAATCTCAGTCACATACTCAAATCGTATATTTGATCTATCTTCACCACTGTTGGTGACAGCTCTTTGTTATCATCGAGAGGTTCCAGATACGCTTTCGTGAGCCGTCGGAGCCGCAGATTTCCAGTCAATGGTTTCGCTGACCTTCTCTTCAGTAAAGCAGCGCCACCGACTGATGACGACATCTGAAATCGTAAGGTTATCAAGAAAATCGGGACAGAAGTTGTCCTTGAAACGTGTATCGACAAAGATCTGTCGACCTTCGATATTTGGGCGGCAGCTCAAAGAATTAGCGAACGCTTCCGTTCAGATCATATCTACCATTCAATCTCTAAAGGATAGATTTATAAATGACAAGAGATGATGGCTGAATGGTTGATAACTTCTGCAGATAAAATTGCGCAAGTAGGAAGCAATGGTAACTGCTGCAACATTCAGTTGAGAACGGCGAAAAACCTACTCACAATGTGCTCCGAATTCGTTCTGTGCTTCTTTGATCTGAAGAAGAAATCTTGCTTTATGTCAAGGAAATCGATTTAAATATCCAAAAGCAGTCATAACTGTAGTTTACAAATAGAGAAACAAATTACTATGACACAGGAAAATTGTTCATGATCAATTTTAGGTGGGTTGAGCATCGGAATTTCCGTTCCGGGATTGCTCGCATTTACAAAACGTTAGAGACATATGCACAAATGAATGCAGTAAAAGCACAAAAATTGAATAAAAGCTATTTAGAGAAAGCAAATGAAGCCATATTCAGAATCGGGAGATGGGAAATCTGTAAAACCCTATTCCTTCAGTAAGTAAGCGAAAGTTCGTTTGAAACAGAAAAAGCTAGAGGGAACCAATTGGATAATCATGACAAACCAGCATTAAACACAGAAGAATTTTGAGAGAGTGGAACGTTTTTCTAGCCCATAATTTGAAAGCAATCGATTAATAGGGTCATTTGAATCAGTGATAAATTTTTGAATAAAAAGGGGTTTACAATAAGTTAAGAAGAGAATTTTAAAGAAACATGAATCGTTTCGAAAAAGACGGATTCACAGGCCGCAAGATGATGAGATCGATTATGAGAGTTTCTTAACGGAACGGCGTATTTGGATCATTCCTCTTTTTCGACTTTCGAACTCGAAAACCGTCTCTGAACCGGAGCAATAGCAGAAAGGATCAACGCAAGAAGCGGAACCAGTGAGACCAGTAGCAACTGCAAAACGTGTGTATTATAAATGTAATGGAAAAAAGCTATCTAGGTCTCTATAAAAGATCTGTAATACTTACTAGATTCTCGAGTCCATCAGGTCGCTTAATTACTGTAGTCTGTTTCTGCATAAGTGGCGCTTGTGAAGATCCTGATGTTGAAGATCCCGAGAGATTTGCGGCTTCAGGGCAGAATGAAACATTTCCAGACGGCGACATTTCCAATGGTTCTTTGATGTAGTCCGCTTCGGAGCTGTAACTCTCGGACTTTTCTTGATTTTCCTTCTCGGTTAAAGATGCAATCGTCAATTCTAGCTCTCGATTTTTCGACTGTAGCTCGAGAATCGATTTGAGATACGTTTCAATCGTTGTTTTATCTTGCTGTTTCTTCATTGCCCCACCATCGGCAGAAGATTCTTCAGGAGAAGCAATGGTGGAGCAACCATTGATGAGCTGAGTGCGAAGCTCTGATTCCGAAGCAGATGAAGTATCTGAAGAGGATGGAGTTTCTCGAACGTGTGGAGGCAGATAGGAAGCCAATTTGAGTGCACTTATAAGTTCATGTAGTTGTTCAGCGTCAATGAAACTTCCTTTTTCAATAGCTTTAGCAAGAAGATGCGACAATCCTGAAGCCGTCTGGTTGATAACTGAAACCATAAACACTTTTATTGTAAATTAAATGTTTCAAACTCACCGGAGCTATTGCTTAATTCGTTGTTTTTCTTTTGCAAGTCCTGTACCTTCTCCTCGGACGATGATAACTGTTTTTGTTTTTCAAGAAGCTCTGCGGAAGTGAGTTCGAGTTCAGAAACCTTGGAGTCATACATTTCCGTAGTCTCAGATAATGCCATTTCAAGATCATCGTTTCTAGAGCGCAGTTGTTGATATGTCTGCTCTGTGGTCTCAAGTGATCGTTCCATATCTTTGAATCGAGATGTTGTCTCGCCGTTCTCTTCAATCAGCCTACGGACCATCTCCTTCGTCATTGCTTCAAACTTGGTTTTCTCATCGATCATTTTCAAAAGCTCTTCTTTCTGTTTATCAGGATTGTTATTGTTCGAAAGAATCGAAAGTTGAGCTTCCAGAGATTCAATTCTGAAAAAAAGAGTTTTCTCCGTACCTCTGAAATTCTTACCTTGCCAAGAGGCGATCTTCATTCACCAAAGCCTTCCAAGCGGTCTCCGCTGCCTTTTCGTTGGCCGCGATAATGCTCATCAATTCACCGATTTTATCCTCACGCTGCTTCTCTCTTAAAACAACAACATTTTCGAACTGACCATCTCGATTGTTTGATATACCTGTGTTGGGCTTCTGATACATATTGCTGCATTTGAAAAAGTTTTCGATTGCTGACGAGTGCGCTGGTTGTTCTTTGTCCTTCCTCGCATGCTGGTCCGATGCTTTCTATCAATTTTCCGTCGGCGTTGAAACAATTTATAACAGCATAGATACATCCATACACCACTGAAATTTTTAGGTTAAAAAAATATACAATCCCTGTAGGCAGGCAGTTATTCAACGTTTTTAGTTTATCTATAGCATTCTGTGAGGTAATTTCTTACCTTTGTTAGCGTTTTCCACAATTTCCACTCCGAGTTGAATGATGTCGCCGCTAAAAACTCGCCGCACATCAGTATCGCGTCCATTTCCGATTTGCTGTAGTTTCTCATTATTTACAAACGTTCCATTGCTACTTTTTGTATCTTTCAGCCAAAATTCGCCGTCCCGAAACCACATAATCGCGTGATTCCGTGAGAGAACCTAAAAAGAAGTTGAGTTCAAAATCGATACAAACGAATATGCTCACTTTGCAATCGAAAACAGCATTATCAGACGCTGCCTGTATTCGCGCAACAGCTCTCCCAATTTTGACCGGATCAGTAGATGAGTTAACCTGAAACAGCTTTAATTTTTGAATGATTAGGGAGCAATATACTCACTTTTACCCGTCTCTCTTCGAATGGGTGTGATTTCGGGGTGGCAACCAACGTCACCCATCCGAAGGACATTTCACCTGGAAAAAAGAAATGAACAGGTTTAGTTTTGCACACACGAGAAGGAATGAAACGACAGTATTATCTTTAATAGCAAAGCGAGAGATTATTCATCAGGAAGCTTCAGAAAACTATACAATTATGTTTCTAATACACTCGTGATAAAAACGGCGACAGTCACTAACCCCGATGGCGGGCTTCTCTAGCCCAGCAGAGCGCGCTTGCTTTGCACTCTTACTATTAGAGAGACCCCGCAAATTCCGGGGTCTCACTATTAGATAGGACCCGAGTCTTATAAAATCGAATAGAACGAGAAAAGTTCAAAAAAATTCTTGAATTTTTCGTTTCAATTATATTCAAAGTCACTGCGGTTTGGAAGAAATCGATTTTTTTTTCGACTTCAGCTCGAACTAATATACCGGACATTCCGGCGGACAATAAGACAATTTAACAAACAAAACTAAAATTAAGAGAAAAATCTTCGAAGCAGATCACATTTCGACCTAAAATCAGTAAATTTCGAAAGACTACTGTATTAAAGGAGCATACTAGCAAAGCATGCCGTGTCCTCTAAACGATTACCGTATCGAAGGGTTTTGAAATCGCCAAAAAAAGTAATTCTTAAACGATAACGAGATCTCGCGAGAGGTTTTTCAAACAGACGAAACAATAAATATTACATGAAATTTTGAAAATCTGATCTCCGTATTGATGTATATAGAGAAATACAGCAAAATATGAAAAAATTAACTCGAATAATTCGAAATCTGTATTTGTAAAACAACCCCTCTGGTCATACTTGTAACGGGCCGGGCCGGGCTTTTTCCGGAATTTCGGAGGCCCGGCCCGGCGGGCCCGTCATTTCACTAGTTTCGAAATTTTCAAAAAACACAAAAGGGGGACCCTTATGTGATTTTTTTCGACCAAAAAAATTTTTTTCGAGTTTTTCGATCTTTTTTGATCAGACAGACAAACAATCCGAAATACGAAAAAAAAATGGAAAAAAATTATATTGAGAGCTCAAAATTTGGCTCAAAAATACAGAATTTTTGACACCGGGCCCTTCCGGGGCCGGGGCCCCGGCCCTGAAAAAAATCCCCCCAAGCCCGGCCCCGGGCCCCCGGGGAGAAATTACAGTATGCCTCTGGTAATCGGTTTCTAACCAGTTTCGGGAAATTTTCCAACCAGGTTCGGGTAACGCGCATTTCCAATCAGATTCGTAAACTTTTTATTTTCCGACCAGATCTGGTGATTTTCTGACCGGATCCGACCGAAAAAGCTAATTTTCCAACCTGATTCGGACAATTTTCTAACCAGATCTAGCCATTTCTGCTCCGGAATTTTCCCGAATCTGGTTGGAAACCGATTACCAGAGACATTGAAAGCGCAAGTTCTTCATTTTCCGACCATCTTTGCGATGTAGTAGATACTACTGTTTCGTAGTAGGTTTTACTGTTTAGTTTTCCGGCGATTTTGTAGATATAGGAAAATTTTATTTTCAAACTTTGTTGGCGGTTTTAAACACAAAAACTGTAAAAAGCTTTCATAGTAATTTCACAAATTCCATAGCTCCGATTTTTCTGTGCAAAAATAATAATGTGGTCGCGAACTTTCAGCACTAAATCGCTTTTGAAAACATACAGAATTCCCTAAAAGATTTATAAGAATTAAAATAGTAAGATATTCATTTTGGTGATCTTTCTTCAAATGTACATAAAACCGGTAATTGAATATAAATATATAAATTTATCTGAAAACGATTGTCTGAAAAAGATCTATCGCAATGGTCCACGTAATGTCTTTCCAACTGCTCCTCTAACTAAACTTCCGGCGTATTCCTCGTCTAGCTTGAAATATGTTGACACTTTCAGATAACGGTCATGGAATGTCAGTCTAAAAATAAAAATAGCTAAATATCAAGCAAAACTTTTCAGACTCACTTTGGACTTTTCAGTATCACCCCTTGCATTGTTGGCAGAGCAATTCCCATTTGAAGAATTTCAGTGAGAAGCTTCTCTAGGAACTCTGCTCCAAACAATCCTAAATCAGAGAAAGAATCCTGATCGACATCGTTGATTTTTGTTTCGAGTAGCTGGAAACTTGGAACGTTAATTTTCAAAAACAAGAACCACTATTCTATCTTACAGTAGTCCTATCAATTAAAGTTTTAAATTCTAGTACAATAAATATATTTTCACAGTTTACCTTGAAATCCAAATTTTCGATTGTTGAATTTCCAACGATCACGGATCCGTTGATCCATAAATTGACATTGGCTGTCATTGTTGTGTCTGCCTTCAAAATCTGCTGCTTGACTTGTGTTGGTTTTGATGGCCTCACATACATATTCAGACCACCATGAAGACGGAATCTGGATCGATTATCAATGAAAACAATCAGTGGTGCCTGGAAAATTTTCCATTTTTGAAAACTCCAAAATACAATATTCAAACCTTCTTTGCGAAAAACTCAATTTCTACTTGTCGATCTGGGAACTGTTCCCCGAGTGTTCCTAAGAATTCTCCAAGGCAGAATCCAGCTGGACCACAAGTGGTGACCAATAATCCTTGAAGTTGAGGAGAACTCTCTGGACCAACAGTTACATCCAAAAAATGTTGTTTATACGAATGATACAGCATGGAGTTAGCCAAATAGTCACTTGCATAAAATTCAATCATGTGGACACCTGGAAAAATTTAAAATTCTAATTAGTCAATATTTTTCAAATCAAACCATGAGGAGCTGGAATTCTGATGTTTGGAGGGAAGAAAGGTGTTCCTCCATGTCCTCTCCAAGAGATTTCTCCTTTTGATAGCATATTTATAGCACCATTTTGAACAAATGGAGCAGTCAACATTTGATAATCCAAAACTAATTCCTTATCACGGAGACGTTGAACGAAATGAGTTAAAGTGATATTCTTTGCATTGAAGCTTGATAGCTTTCCAGCTCGATGATGCTGAAAAAGAGATGGGATCGTTTGGTCAGTAGTTCACCAAATTATTAAAAGTCGCACAAAAAGCTCGGAAAAACTTTTGAGAGTACGATCTTGAATTACTTCTGGGGTACAACGATTTTTAGGAGTACTTAATTGTGGGAACACTGAATTGATGATAAAGTAATTTCATTAAAGTAAAGGGGGGGGGGCATTAAATAAATAAAATTTTTAAAATTCCGTTTATACAAGCCTCTCGAGGAGTTGAACTTGTGGATCCAATGACACAGGTAAGGCGGGGTTGCCGAAAAGCGTACGAACGGCGGCTCAAGATTTAAGAGTTGGCTATAACTTGGGTCCTTAAGCAAATGGGGAAAAATTGTGAAAAAAAGGTGTGAATGGCAATTATAAGTAATCAAACCATAATTCGCAAGCCAACTTTTAGATCTTCAGCAGCCATTCTTACGCTTTTCGGCAATCCTGCCTCATCAGTGGCTGGAGATGCCAGATGAGCTACTTTTTACTCCAATAAAACTAATAAAAATTCCCATTTTTACTCCAATAAAACTAATAAAAACTCCAATAAAACTAATAAAAAGTCAACACTTGGACTTATCTAACTGTAAATTGCTCGCGGACTTTTTTAGTTATTCCCCTGTCTAAAATCATTTAAATTTGAACGAAAATCGCACCCAAAAACTAGTATTAAACCTAGACTCTGTGTGTTCAAAAGTTTTGAACCCTAGAAGAAGACTGTACTCGCACCCATACATTTCCAAAAGTTGTTTCGCCAAAAGGCTATGCCACTCAAATCGTCAACTTTGAGCCCATATATCTCGGTTCCTGTGAAAGATATCTTAGATTCATCAATTGATAGATTTTTGATTATAATATCAAAAAAATTATATCAGTTGATAACTTTTTTATATTTTTAACAGGAACCGAGACATATGGGCTCAAAGTTGACGATTTAAGTGGCACTCTATTATTTTTTGAGTGTTTACGGTATGATAAGTTGCTTTCAAAACCTACCTCACCTTTTTTGGAGCAACACCAAACGTCTCTCCAATGATATCCAAATTGTTTTCATTGATTCGAATCTGGAAATTGTTTAAAAAAAAGAGATTGCTCAGCTCTCAGAACTTACCTTCAATGGCATGTTTGATAGCAGAATATTCATGTCTCTATCAATAATTGATTCGATCATTTTGCACATTTTCTGTTCCACTTGCGGTTTGAAATTTCCAATCAGAAATGCTGGAATATATTTTTCAGTTTTTTTAAATAACTCAAATTCACTCCTGCAAACCTTTGAACGCATTAATAAAGAAATCAGTGATAACACCAGTGTTTCTCACATTCAGATCAACATATCCAATGGAACTTCTACATCCTGTGGACCTCACTTGAGGTGCTCCATGGGGGTTTCTAAACTTTTTTTATAAATTGGAATGGATATTAAAAAGCACCAGTACCTCTCCATATTAACAGTAATATATAGACTAATATGACCCAAAAGAGCCTCAAAATGACCGGTAATGGGTACAGTTGGAAGGAGAAGAGGGCTGTTCAAAGTTGCTTGGAAGTCTCCAGCGGCTCTGAAATTCCAGAATTATAAGAAAAGATTCAAAACTGAAGGACATCATACCTCAAGTGCATTTTACTCATGCTCCAGGCAAATGTACTTGGTTCCGACATATCCAATGAGTATTCTTGAGGTGCCCAATACTTGCTCATCATTAGATTATAAATCGAAACCTGAAGTCTTTTTTGGTAAAACTTCGAATGCCTAGTTCCATCTTACTTCTCCATTTTCGATTGGTTCTCTGATGTTGGGCAATTGTAATTTCAGAATCTGCTCATTGATGACTTTCATTCCCACTTCTCTCAAGTAAGCTAACCCGTTTGGCATGATTCGAAGATAGATACCCGGGTTGGCAGCTGATGTATTTTTCTTTAAAAAAAGAAAAGATGATGTCGATCAGGAAAGACAATTTATAACCATCAGATTACTGTATTTCTGATTTAAAAATTATGAAAACTCACATCCAAAAGAGGAGAATAATCTCGATTTATTTCTTGTCCAGAAATCCATGGTATACAAAAGCCAAACAACAAAACAACTCGCATTTTTCTTTGAATATCTGAAAATTCTTATACGGAGTTTGAACTTTCATTCTGGTACAAAAAATCGGAGCTGTGTGTTAGGTCCCACAAAGACAACTACCGTAACCTAAAAGTATTTTTTTTCGATTTTCGTCCGTTTCAGTTTAATTTTTCACTATTAAAAGTTTTAATTTTCCCACTTTTTTTGCGGAAAAATTACAGAAAACTTGATGAAAAACGGTGAAATATAAAAATATTTTAGGTTACGGTGGTTGTCGTTGTGAGACCTTCGGCCGCAGCCACCGGCGTTTCTCACAGCTTCGATTTTTTTCGTTCCAGAATAATACAACTTTTTTTACGCCAGGGAGAATGAAATAAAGAAAAATGACGAAATGAACTCGGATTCTGATCTTCGTGTTCTGCTGCTCTCAAACTTCAGAACATGATATTCAAAAGGAAAAGGAAAAACAAAGAAACCGAAAAGAAAATCGAAAAAAGTGAGGAGCGGAAAGGGGAAAAAGCATGAAGAAGCGGTGTAAGTGTGTTCATCTTCTGAATCGCTTATTCTCAGAAGACACACGACAAGATGTAGATGAGAATTGTATCAATTCGGAGGGGACGAACAGGTTTCAATCGCCGTCATCGCCTCCAGCCGCAAAACAATTCGCCAATGCCCGCGAAACGGCCTTCTCGGCGTCTAGACGAATGCGAGAAGCTTACACAAACTGCAGTATTATACCTTCTAATTAATTAGTATTTATTTTTCATAGTAATTTCACAACCACTTCTGAGTAAAAAATAAAAAAAAACTATGAAACTAAGAAAAAAGAGGAGGATGCGAAAATACATTATTGGAAGTTCTTGACGGCGGCGACGATGTGACGAGCGGAGATTCCGTACATGTCGACAAGAGCATCTGGTGGTCCGGAACGTGGAACTTCCTTGACGTACAACGAACGAACACGGATGGTTGGGTAATCAGCAAGAGCGGCTGATACAGCCTCTCCGATTCCTCCGGCAGCGTAGTGATCCTCAGTGGTGACAACACGACCTCCAACTCTGAGAGCGTGCTCAGCAATAGTCTTTCCGTCCAATGGCTTGATGGTGAATGGATCAATAACGGTGGCGTGGATACCTGAAATATGAATATCTCATTTTCATTATATATTATGCTACACGATGGTTCCAGTCCCTGATTCTTGAGAAAACACTCACCTTCTTTCTCGAGTTCCTCAGCAGCCTTCAAAGACTCGTACAAAGTGACTCCTGATCCGACGAGGACAACCTTGTCTTCAGCAGATTGCTTGACAACCTTGGCCTGTCCAATATGGAATGGCTCTTCGTTATCATAAAGGACTGGAAGTGCTGGACGTCCAGTACGGATGAACACAATTCCCTTGGTGTTGGCAGCAAGCTCAGTTGCTCTCTCGGCCGAGACAGCGTCAGTTGGGTAGAATACAGTAGCTCCAGGGATTGTGCGGAAAATAGCGAGATCTTCGAGAGCCATCTGACTTGGGCCGTCTTCTCCGATGGAAACTCCAACGTGGGAACCGACGCACTTCAGGTTAGCGAAGGACACCGCTGCCATACGAATTTGATCGGTGGCACGAGTGAAGAAAGCAGCGAATGTGCTAGTGAACGGGATGGTACGGTCACGGCACTGAGCTCCGACTGCAACTCCAACAAGGTTCTGTTCGGCGATGAAGCATTCAATGAATTGATCTGGGTGCTTCTTGAGAAGCTTCTCAGAGAATGTTGAGTTCTTGGTATCACCATCGAGTCCAATGACACGTGGGTTCACATCTCCGAGCTTAGCGAGAGCGGTACCGTAAGCAGCTCTTGTGGCAACCTTGTCTCCCTTTTTGTATTCTGGAGCTGGCATCTTTGTGGATCCGACATGGAGATCGATAGCTGGAGCATCGTTGATTGGCTTCTGGGCAACAAGCTTTCCTTTTTGGCTTCCATGGAAACGTGCTTTGATGGCGTCGATCTGAAATGAGATGCATCGAAGTTACGAGGGTAAAAAGCTTTCAAACCGTTTCAGCTGGAACTGGCTTTCCGTGCCAGTTGTCCTCGTTCTCAATGCCTTCGATTCCCTTTCCCTTGAATGTTTTGGCAATGATAGCAGTTGGCTTATCCTTGGTGTTACGAGCATTCTCGTAGGCAGCAATAAGCTCATCAACATTATGACCATCGACGATAATAGCGTTGAATCCGAAAGCAGCAAATCTAGCCTTGTAGGTCTCGACATCGTGTCCAAGAGCAGTGGCTTGACTTTGTCCGAGTCTGTTGACATCAACAATAGCCACGAGATTGTCAAGCTTGTAGATGGAGGCAAAAGAAGCAGCTTCCCAGACAGATCCTTCAGCAGATTCTCCATCTCCCAAAAGACAGAAAACTCTGTAGCTGGCCTTGTCGATGTACTTTCCGACGTAAGCCATTCCGGTAGCAACTCCAAGTCCTTGTCCGAGAGATCCAGTGGCAACATCGATGAAGTTCAGACGGGGAGTTGGGTGACCTTCTATGTCAGAGTCGATTTTACGGAGAGAAAGGACTTGCTCGTGGGATAGAAGACCGGCTTCTTCCCATGCAGCGTACAGAATTGGGCAAGCGTGACCTTTAGAGAGAATGAAACGATCGGCAGAAGCAGACTTTGGCTCAGCAATGTCATACTTCATTTCAGAGAAGAAGAGAGTTGACATAATTTCGGCTGAAAAATACAATTTTAGATTGAAAAGATAACGAATTATTACCAGCAGAAGTCGAAGATGTTGGATGTCCGCTCTTGCTGGCACAAGTCATCTCAATCGAAGAAATTCGCATGCGGTTAGCCGCATCTTCCAAATCATGACAAAGTTGCTCCGAGATGGTCATTCTCCTATAAAAAACAAGCCTTTTACAAGTGGAACGAGAAAACCTCAAAATTTGAACGCCATAGAACATTCTGGAGAACGCCATGAAACATTCTGGAAGGAAAAAAGTGATTTGATAGCAAAAAACGACAACGAGTGGGAGAGAAAAAGAGAGAGAGAGAGACACACACACACACGCACTGGCAATGACTATCAAAGTTTATCATCATCATTTCAACGCACCACCTATTTCTTATCAGATATTTACTAATGGTACCACCATTCTTACAGGAGACAGGGCGAGAAAACACCGCGAAAATTCAGTCAAAAACTGCAGACTGTTGACGAAATCGTGTCAACGAAAATAACAGAGCGCCGCTCCCTTGTCTGCGACTCTCGCCTCTCACACTATTTTTCGAGTTCCAGTGACCACAAGAACTGCAAAGAACGGAATACGCAGTAAACATAATATCCATTAAAAAAACGAAAAAAAATACATATATTTAGTTTCAGTCTGAAGACTTGTTTATTGATAAAAACCAAAAGAGTGAAATTTAAAACTTTGTCATCGTTTCGAGGCATTTCACAAGTTTCGCGCAATGGTCGTTGTTGTTTGGAGAAGTTGGCGCCAGAAAAACTTGCGCAGAAAACACACTGAAAATTGAACGCGCCACTTGTGTTCAAGCGAGCGGGTCAGAAAGCGCGCCCCAGTAAATTTAGGAAAAATTCTACTGTTTATTCAATAAAACGTGGGCGCGCCGCAGGTTGCAAAGTGACACGCCCCTTTATGAAACGCGTGATAAGAGGAAAAAGGGAACGCGTTTCAAAAAGGGGCGTGTCACTTTGCAACCTGCGACGCGCCCACGTTTTATTGAATAGACAGTAAATTCGCTGCCAATTTCGTTGGCTGAGTTTCAAAGTTTTAAATGATGAGCAAAAAACGCGCGTTGCAACCTGTTGATTTTAATGAAATAGATCATGATCTAGATCACACCCGCGTCCACTTTAAAATTATTAAACTTCTTCTGGCCTACGAGTTTGCTGGGGCGCCTTTTCTGACCCACTCGCTCGAACCCAAGTGTGAACGGTCATGAAAGGTTTCTCGGCCTCGGTCCAGCAAACTTGATTTAAAAAGTTACATTCGAGTGGAATTGACTTTTTGGAACAGAAGAAGAATGAAAGAGAGAAACGAAATGACAAAAAGCCTAAAACTATTGCGCCTTCAAATTATATTTTAGTGCTACTGTAATAAGTGGATGAAGGTTGATTAGATACCAGAAGCTTCTATTTAAAATTTTTTAATTTATTGAAAAACAACAAAAAAAAAATCATCATTTAAACGTTTCGTGTTAAGTCGGTTAAAGTTGTCCCAGCACAGCAGCAGAAGGAAAATGTCCCGTTTCAGCTATGAGAAACGTTTTTGGATGGCAACATATTGGCAATAGTGAAGAGTTTCAGGATCTGCAATGGAATTATATTATCGAGAACATTAATATTGGAATAGTACTCCTGTGAACACTTGGATACTAAGAGAACGATCTTTGATATCTGAATCTTTAAAAAAAGATTTCCGTCATCATTGTATTTGTTCTATTTCCTCATTTCAATCGTTGGACTCCAAAGAGTAATGTTCATAATGAATCATAATCATTTTTTCAAGAGGCATCCTAAAAATGCTTTCTGAGAGTTGCCCCCATCATCTGGATGTCCGTCCGTTCGATGGGCCATGTTCCGCGTGCTGCCCACATGGCAAAGGAGATAATTGTTACAACATATGTGACCCATCCCCCTCTGTTTTGTTGAGCAATCGTTTTTATCCAATACCTCAACGATTGGACTATGAGGATCAATATATTTGTCACTTTATTGTTTTTGTTCAGATCTGAAACTCTAGCAATAGATGAGGAATGTTATATGACAGTGGTAAGAATTGTTCTATGGAAAATCTTCTTGAAATAAATTTTACAGCCTGAAATTGGCAAGCGGTTTGGCTATGACTCGGAGGTTCATTTGGTTCGAACAACAGATGAATATATTTTAGAGCTTCACAGATTTCCGTGCAAAAATAATGGTATCATTGAAATAATTGTCCTATGGCCTAATACCATATTCAGAGAAATGCGATACAAAGTCAAAACGTCCAATTGTATTTTTACAACATGGTCTGCTAGCAGATGGATTTTCATGGATTCCAAATTTGGCTAATCAATCAGCTGGATTTGTTTTTGCCGATGCAGGGTTTGATGTGTGGATTGCCAATAGTCGGGGTACTCCAGCATCACAAAAGCATATCGGATATGGTCCAGAAAATCAGAAATTCTGGAATTTCACATGGCAACAAATGTCTGAATACGATTTGACTTCGAGTGTTGATTACGTCTTGAAAGAGACAAAACAAAAGTTTTTATACTATTTGGGACATTCTCAAGGAACTATGATCATGTTTTCAAGACTTGCTGAAAACCCTGAATTTGCCAAAAAGGTGAGTTGATCATTTCTAGCTGTTTTTCTAAGGTATTTTTTTCTAGATTCGACATTTCCATGCTCTTGCTCCAGTTGCTACCGTATCACATATCGGTGGGCTTTTCGGATTGTTTGGTAAACAGTTTCTGACTTACGCAGAAATTCTTCTTGGACGTCTACCGTATTCTCCTCTCTCCATTCCTAGACCTATACAAAAAATGATCAGTTACATGTGCAGTAAATTCCTGATGCAAAGCATTTGCACTCTGGATATTGGATTTATTGATGGAAATGAGAAACAATTTAATCAATCCAGAGTTGGAGTCTACCTTTGTCACACTCCTGCAGCTACTTCGGTGAAAGATCTTCAGCATTGGATTCAACTTGTTGAATCTCAAAACGTGGCCAAGTTTGACTATGGGCCGGTTGGGAATCAGCTAGAGTATGGACAGCCGACCCCTCCTGTTTATGATCTGACACAGATTAAAACTCCAACTTATCTATATTGGAGTGGGGATGATATTTTGGCTGATACTCAAGATATACGGTTGGTTTGAAAGTTTGAAAGTTTGAAAAAAAGTTAAGTTTCAGTGACTCGATCTTATCGAAAATGAACAAAGCGATTGCCGGATCTATTGAGCTTCCTCATTACAGTCATATGGATTTCGTGTTTGGAATCAATGCTGCAAAGGATTTATATCCGGTAAAACTCCTAATTTCCCTACTAGGTTACTGTAGTTTCCAAATCTCAATTTTTCAGCATTCTTAAATTATATCTACCTAACAATTCGAAACAAACTTTAATCATAAAAATTTAATTCACTTATTTTTCAGGGAATAATAAAGACCATTCAAGACGATTTCGACAAGTACCGCATTTCTCAAATGCACAAGCTGAACAAGTATTTTTAAATTTTCAAGTTTCTGATATCAAAAAATGGAACCATTAACTTTCATTGTTGTTTTAATTTTCTGAATGTAGCCATAGCTACACTGTACCCTTTTTATCATTTTCTTCTTCTTATCAACTAATCGTTAACTGACACAGACATCCAATAAATACGGTTTTTCTCTCATCTAATTCTTTTGTTTCTGACTTATTCTCACAAATCCAGATTCTAAAAGCTGAACATGGATAAAGTACCAGATGATATCAAGAGTTATATGATGGAGGCTTATCAGTTGGCAAGCCGGGTTAGTTAAATAATGAAATTAGTTTTTTTTGTTGTGATAATTTATTGTCGAAAAGTTAGTGTCGAAAATTTTAATGTTCCAAGATAGTCCCTTTTTTTTGAAGCTGGGGATCATGAAGAAATACCAGAGATGTTCGGATTCCTGGACTCCGAAAAAGCTTATTTATTCCGAATTTTCATGAAATAAGTTAATCTGCATGATTTTTCTACCACGAAAATTGTTTTTGAATTTCCTAACGAAAAATAAAGCGCCATGTGTGTTTTATAGAATTATTCTGCACACTGGAGATATCCAAATACCGGATCCTGCCCATTGGAGACCGGAAAATTTGGGATTTCGTATTCCGTTTTTTATAGTCCGGGAATTTTTTGCACCAAATTCCGGATTCCGTGAAATTCTGAATTATCCGGATTCCGAATTCTGGATCTGAGAATATTTTTCCGAATACTGGATACCGTTTCTAAAAAAAGGGATTCCGGACATCTCTGCGAATTACCCTATTTACAGAAAATTTATATTTGAAAAATGTAACCAGGTAGGCGCACACTGGCGAATGACTGCTAGTTGGCAGCCCCCTGACAACCGACAGGCCGTCGACGGACTGTTGACGGACCATTGGAACCCTTTCGAATACCGATATGATTTTTTCCAGTGGTCGCTTCCAAATAATCGTGGAGATCACACTAACTCAAAATCGATCCCTCTAAAATCTGTGGCTGTGATCGGAGGGGGAACGATGGGAAGAGGAATTGCAATGGCTTTCTGTATGGCTGAGTTTGAAACGATTTTGGTGGAACTTAATGATCAGGTACAGTTGGTTCGCAGTCTTTAATTTTTTTTTTCATGAAAAACTTTTAGGCTGTTGAAAACTGCAAAAAGGAGTTGGAAATCACATATGCACGAGAGAAGTCTTTCAAAAGATTGAAAGACTCGAAAATCGAAAAATTGAGGAAGAATCTGCAGATCACGACAGATTTTCAGAAACTTCAGAATTGCGATCTGGTGGGTTCATCCAAATATGATGTACCATGTTATGAGCAAGTTCAGATCGTTGAAGCGGTTTTCGAAGAGATGAAATTGAAGAAGGAACTTTTCACAAAGTTGGATGGAATCTGTAAAACGTCATGCATTTTTGGAACAAACACATCAAGCCTGGATCTAGATGATGTGATAGTTTCTTTAGAAAAAGTTGATTTTTCAAATTTCCAAGAATTCAGATGTCGTCAGTTCTCCAGAATCCAACCAAAGTTGTTGGAATTCACTTTTTCAATCCAGCCAATCTAATCAAAATGGTTGAAGTCATTTATGGATCCCACACGTCTTCCGAAGCCGTTGCCACTGCTTTTGAAGCTTGTAGAGCTATCAAAAAACTTCCTATTCTTGTTGGGAATTGCCCTGCATTTGTGTTCAATCGTCTTCTTGGAGTTTATCTGAATCAAAGTCAAAAGTTGATGTATGAATACGGATACCTACCTCATCAAGTGGACAAAATCGTCACCAGCTTTGGATTTCTGATGGGCCCATTGACAGTTGCTGACATGAATGGTTTGGATGTAATGGAGAAGCTGAAAAGTGAGAATGGATGGCCAGCAAGTGATTTCGAAAAAGAAGTATGGACACAGAAAAGATATGGAAGAAAACGAGTGAGTTCTAGATTTTAGATCTCATAGAAATCTAGATTTTGAATACCAAAAGTTTTCAGACAGAGGATATTATAAATATGACAAGATAACCCATAAAAAAGAGAACGATATGGAAATGGAACAGATGGTTCGCGAATACTCAAGCCGGGCTCATCCAAGTATTCAGATCTTGAACGATCAGGTTCTGAAACTTTTTTGGTTTTAAAGATTGGAATATTTCAGGATGCTATCAACTTTTTATTGTATCCGATGATGAATGAAGGACTTTTGTGCATTGAAGAAGGAATCATTGATCATGAAAGTTTGATAGATATTATGTTGTAAGTTGACTTTTGTTTGAAAACCAGTCGATTTTCTCTTCGGGGATAAACATCCTGGTTGCTGCTTACAACACCTGTAATCTTATAGATAAATTTTGTCTGTATACAAAATTTCTAGTAATAATATCCTATTTTTCCGGATATGTTTTTCGGTAATTGAAGAATGTAGTGTTTTGGAAAATAGTTTATAGAAGTTCAGAAGTTCGGAAATCTCGGAATTCAAAACTACAAAATTCTGAACTTCTCAAATTTAGATCATCAAAAACACGAAAATCCGGCTCCGCGTTACGTCGAAACCGAGGTAAAACAGGCGGATGGATGAATTTCAGACTACAAAACCAATATTAGGGTAGGGTTTCCATTTGGACGGGTGGAAAAAAGAGCCACCCGCCGGGGGGCTACCTGAAATCAAAAAACAGCGAAAAAGATAAAATTTTCTTCACGTAAATAATCGCGGGGGGCCAACGGGGGGCCGCGGGGGGTGAGCCCCCGGGCGGGTGCGGGCGAGTGAATCGCCCCCCCCCCCCCCAAATGGAAACCCTATTTTAGGTTTTTCAAAAAATTCTTTTTCTGATAGAACATATTCTGAAAATCGAAAAAGTTTAAGAATTTTTCTTCTTTTAAGAACATATTTTCTTTCGAAAATTCAGAAATTCAATTAAAAAAACTAGATTTGCAGATTCATAAACTCAACAATTCAAAAAAATAAAACTCTAGAACTTTCGTTCTTATCTGATTTTCGATTTTAAGAGTTTTTAAACTCCTAAGTTTTAAGTTTCCAGTGGTTATGGTTTGAAATAAAAATTCCGCTCATTCGAAAGTTTTTTTTCAGCATTCTTGGCTTTGGATGGCCAGTTGCAACTGGAGGTCCAATGAACTTTGGACGACAACAAGGAATTGAAAAAGTAGCCAACACCTTGATTTTCTGGTCTTCTTTAGAACCGGAGAACAGAATCTATCAAGTGGCACAGACTCTCCGAAAAGTTAATAAGAAACATTTTTCATCAAAACTTTGAAATCGACTTATATGTAAATTAATCTCTTTAAACTTAATAAATTGACAATAATTCTGATTTTATGTGTTCAACAACACAAAATCCCTTCCATATTCAGAAAAAAAAAACTTACAAAATCACCCCTTCAAATGCTGATTGTAAGCCCTGAAAAATTTTTGTAGCTCTGAAGGTTACCTAGAGAGATGTCGTGACCAATCTACAAACATAGTCCGGCTAGAATGTTTCTGAACTACGATTTTTGTTTACAGATGGCTAGAATTTGATGATAGATAAGGAACATAAATCTTTAGTCTCATAAAGAAGTCACAATTCTTATTTGCCAAAAAAACAGTGAGAACTACGAAAATGATTAGAAGTAAGATGAAAAATCGAAAGCAGTGCTTGATATCAAATGTGGTTCACAACATTACAAGAATGTGCAATTTACTAGAAATGCAATTTTACTACAGATAATTCGGAGGGTATAACGATTCGGTAGTGATTTAGGGGTACAGAACGCCTGATCGCTTTTGGGTGTTTGTTCGCGTTTCGTCAGTTGTCATTCAGAAATTGATTATACTTTTCAGTTTAGTGTATACTAATAAAAATTCAAATTATAGTTTCTGTTCAAACCCTTCGCATTAAGCTCCCGTTTTTTGTTCCCTGCAATACTTGACGGACAATTCAAATTAACCGAAAAAATATCAGGAAGCACACATGAAAACATATAAAAAATCAGTATTCAGCTAGACAGTACAAAAAACTTCACAACTTTCAACTTCTAATACCACTTCTGAATGACGAGGCGGACAAGCACCCAAAAAATTACCATTGGCGGACTGTCGACGGACTATCAAAATTCCTCTCAATTATGATCTAACGGATGGAGGTTTGCTATTTTGAATATTTTTTTTTTTGGCTGACTTTAAATCTGAATTTTCAAGTCAATTTTCCAATTTTCCAAAGGGTTCCGATGGATAGACGGCAGTTCTTATTTGTAGTAGCTCTCACACATAAGGATCCTGACAGAACTAAACTCGAAATTCGTGCCGACATGCACAACCTTTTTAAAAATTCAATAGTTATTAGTCATCTGAAACTTTTATTTCATGGTATTTTTTGGATATTACATTTTTGAGAATAGTGTAGGTTTTCAAATGTTCAAAAACTCAAAAAAATATTTGAAAAATGAATCCAAGAGGCGGTGCTTCGAAAACCAAAGTACTATTTTGAATAGAAACAGGATTACCGGAATATTCGAAAACGGATCAATCCGTATTCTGATAAAAAAAATCACGTTTCTGTTTTCAGGTTTCTGATATTGTAACTGATAAGGGGAGGAAAGTCGCCTTTGGCCGAATTATCAAAAAGACAGAAGTTTTAGTTTGCTCGAGTACGCCTTTTTTCTTCGCGAAAACTACGGACAAGAGAACTTTGAAGACAACGATGGGTCGGAAGATTATGAAAAAAGATTAGTGAACATATGTCATTCAATCGTAGATAGTTTGATGATGAAGCGAGAAGAAGGTCAAAGGGCTTACAAAAGTTATGCTGAAAAGAATATAAGATATCTATAACGGAATTTCGGAACTTAATAAAGAAACATGGAGTTCAAACCAGAGTTGTGAAGAAATTTCTAACTTGTATTCAATTTAAACTCATTATTATTCAGTTAACGTATTGCTGGGATGGCTTCTAGTACAGGGGCCTTCAATTGGAGGGGGTCCTTCTATTACCAGGTTTTACAGTAATTTATTCAGCTGATGTCAAAATTAACCCTGTTTTTTGGGGTGTGTTAAAAGTTATCGGACAAAATGAAAAAAAAAACATTTTTTCAGATACCCAACATTGTCATTTTAACTGAAAACGAGAGAAGTTCAAAATCTTTATGTGAGTTTTCAGACTTTCTGACTTGTTACGAAAATCACTTATATCTTATTCTAAAACAACCGAGTTTGTGTTTTATGCATATAATTCCACCGAAAAAAAATGTACTCGTCGTACCAAAGTCTCATTTTTTCCGTTATCAGCTGTGAATCAACAAGCAGACAAATGACAAATTTCTTCGGGGTTGTCCGGTTACCCTGGCGGAGAGTGTCGGGAGTAAATCCTCTTTGTTATCAATAACGGAATGGGCAATGAAAACGTGATATATTACCAACTGATTGTGATATAAAAGCAGGCACGTCTCCATCGAAGATCATGAGTCGGAGAATTTTTTAAGTTTCGACTATCTTCCATACTGATTACTCTGCATTCAAAAATGTTTAATTTCAGGTTACTGCAACTCCAACAACAATGGATAAAGTTCCAGAAGAAGTGAGAAACTATTTGATGGAAGCTCATCAATTGGCTGGTCAAGTGAGTGGATTCTATAATTTTTAAATTTTCATTCTTTCTCTTCAGTGGAGCCTTCCCAACAACCGTGGAGATCATACAAACTCCGAACCGAATGAAATCAATTCAGTTGCAATCATTGGAAGTGGGACAATGGGAAAAGCAATGGCAATTTGTTTTTGTTTGGCTGGATTCGAAACTGTTATGGTTGTGAGAAGCGAACAGGTACCCCGAAGTTCGATGAAACCTTTGTACTGATTTGAACTTTTTAGAAATGTTGGAAAGAGTTGGAAGACATGTTTTCCATCGAGAAAGCATTCAAGAGATTGAACGATGCACGAATTGAGAAGATTAAAAGTAAACTTCATATCACTACTGATCTTCAAAAGCTCAAAGATATCGATTTGGTGAGAATTTGCTTGAACTTTTTATTTTTGATCGATTTTTATGAGAATTTTAAGATTGTGGAATCCGTTTTCGAGGACATGAAATTGAAGAAGGAGCTGTTTACCACATTGGATGGAATTTGTAAATCATCCTGCATTTTCGGAACAAACACTTCTAGCTTAGACCTGGATGAAGTAAGACCGTATTCCTCTTCTTCTTTATTTTCTTTTTAATTTCAGATCTCATCAGTTCTTGGAGACCCATCAAGACTTGTTGGACTTCACTTCTTTAATCCTGCAAACGTCATCCGATTGGTAGAAGTCATTTACGGATCGAAGACCTCTCCGACTGCCATTGCCACAGCTTTTCAAGCATGCGAATCTATCAAAAAGCTTTCAGTTCTTGTCGGAAATTGTCCATCTTTTGTTTTCAATCGTCTCCTTTATGTTTATTTCGATCAAAGTCAGAAATTGATGTATCAATATGGATATCTTCCACATCAAATTGACAAAATTATCACTAACTTTGGATTCTTAATGGGTCCAATGACAGTAGCCGATATGAATGGATTCGATGTTATGGAGAAATTAAAAAAGGAGAATGGAATTGAACCAAATGCGCTTGAGAAAGAAATGTGGAGACAAAAGAGATTCGGAAGAAAGACCAGTGAGTACTTCTTCCATTTTTCGAAATGAAATTCAAATAAATTTCAGACAGGGGCTTCTACAAGTACGACAAAAAAACCCAGAGAAAAGAAATTGATCCTGAAATGGAAAAATTAGTCCGTCAGTATTCACAAAACGCCAAGAAGAATATTCAAATCTTGAATGACCAGGTATTATTATTTCAGAGCTTCCATAGAAATTTTTGTTTTCAGGATCTCATAAATTTCATGTTATACCCAACAGTAAATGAAGGTTTCCGATGCCTTGAGGAAGGAGTTATCAGTCATGAAAGTTTGATTGATATCATGTTGTAAGTGTTAGTGTTTGCTTTTTCTCCATTTAATGTCTGAATTCCAGCATTCTCGGTTTCGGTTGGCCAATCAACACAGGCGGTCCAATGAGATTTGGAAGAACTGAAGGTATGGAAAAAGTTGCCAACACCCTACTCCATTGGAATACTCTGGAACCCAACGACCGTGCCTATATGGTTGCTGAAGAATTAAAAAACATTGATAAGAAGAATATGTCGTCGAAATTGTAAACAATGAGGAATTTGCTCACTCTTAAATTCTGAATACATCCGCCTACTTGTTGTCTTCCTCATTCTTGTTTCTCTTTGTCTCTCTGTAAAATACTCTCGATAACACTTTCATTATAAATAAAACTATTTAAAACAAGGTGCTTCTTTCAATTTCATGTTCCTTTACACAAAATATTCCACACTTTTTATAAATACTTTTTAGATTCCACTTAGTTCTGTTGGCATCTCACCTTCGAATAATGAGTTTCAACAGCATTCCTGGCGAAATCAATAGAGAACTGGAGTGAGATTTAAAATTTTTCCTATACCATCACAGTAGTTAAAGGGGGCGTCCGCTAATTCCAAAATTTTTGAGATTCAGAATTTAGGTCGGGAAGAAAACTTTCTTGAAGGATAGTCCGCAAATCACTCATTCTTAAGATATATATCAAAAACAGGTCAAAAAGACGCCCCCTTTAAAAAACTTTCAGGCCGAGATTCCAGAACACTATTGAAAGGATTCGTAAGGGTTCCGATGCGGACTCAGAATTAAGACAACTGATCAATGTCATTCATGAGGCATGGAAAGTCAAAGGAAATGAATATGTCGAACGACAGGAAGAAAAGAGAAAAAGAGACATTGAAGAGTTGGAAAAGAAATTGAAAGAAATGAGGAGAGGTAAACTGAATTTAAAGTGTTCCTTTGATAGAAGGTCCCTCTAATAGAAGAGCCCTCCGAGGGGGGCTTGGGAAAATATAAATCTTGCTCAATAACTTATCTGAAAAACTTGCTCAATTTTAGTGGGATTGGTAGATTTTCATGAATTTCGAACTACAATTTGCCGAATTTTTAAAGGAAACGTTTTATAAAATGGCCGGGAAAATAGAAGGGCCCATTTTAATTGAAGATCCACTGTAATAGAAGGGACCTCGGGAAGTACCTTAAAAGTACCTTTTTAGAGACTCATTGACCTTTGTGGAAGTTTCTGCTCCGTGTTGGGCAATCTAATTGATCAACACGAGGATGTGGAAGTGTCCAAGACTCTTCAGAAAGAAGTCAACCTCCAAGTTGCAAAAATCCTCAGCAAAAGGTAACATTGCTCCTGCAAACAATAAAAAACTCTGTGATTTATAGAGTGTTGTTGCTGCTCAAGAACAAGATGAAGAAATCACCGAATTCTTAAACAACCATCTTTGCTCTCAGCATGTTCCCCAAGCAGTAAATTGGGTAGAGATTGAAGCAGAAATCTTAGTTTTGAGAAGTACTCTTAACGCTATCTCCTCAATGATTTCAACATTGACGCCAGTAAGTTATTGAAATGTACAAGATTGGAGTACTATTAAGTCATTTGTAGGAGTATTGGGATCAGGAATCCACCAACCAAATTGGAGAGCTGAAGGCCAATCTGACAGCTTCTACAGGAAGAGTTCTCGAACTGTTGGAGGCAGCAGAAACCCATCACAAATCTCTTATTGATACAGAGTTCATTTTGTCAGTTACTGCGTTAACTGCCAATTAGAACATTGCTTACTTGTTAATATTTCCCATACAGTACAGGTCAATAAGATACAACATATATTTTTCAGATGATTTTCGGTCATTTTGACTATTTTCAGGAGTCTGGAGCTCGGCTGTCAAGTTTCTGATCATTTTGAAAATTCTGGATGGTGTAAAACTAACATAGATAGAAAACTTTGCATTCACAGAATTTTTTGAAAAACCCTAGCTTTTCAGCTGCTTGCCGTTTTCTGAAGACCACCATTTTCGGTCTGTTTTTGTACTGAAAACCTGAAAAAAACATGACTTTTTCAGAAATCGGCAAATAGCTGAAAAACTAGCCTTTTTCAAAAATTTTCGGGAATGCCATGTTATCAATCTAGGTCTGTTTTACACCCTTCAAAACTTTCAAAGCGATTGGGACCTTGACAGCCGAGTTCCAAACTTCTGACAATGATCAAAGTGACCGAAAATCAACTGAAAATATGTTTTTGGGAATCTTATTGACCGGTACTGTATGTTTTTTTTTTGTCTTTTTTAAGTTGAAGTAATATTTTCTAAGTTTTGAGAACACTTTCGAAACGAGCATCAGTAAACCATAACTCAGCTATGAATGTATACTTGGTACCGAGCAACACGATGTTTTCTCTCACTCAATTCGTGCCAGTCCGGTGCCATGATTCACCCGGATAAGCAAATATACTTCATCATTCCATTTATAGTCATCTCCCTTCCTTTGCTCCTCTTCATTTCTGTTTCCTTTTTTCATACCAAAAGAATGAAGCACCTATTTCTTGTATTTCTTTTCGCCTTCACCCAAAACGGATACAGTCAAACAACGCGTAACTGTTATACCTGTGCCAGTACAGATTTGAGAAACAAATGGTATCTAACTGGATTGGCACCGGTCCCGGATACCTATTTCGCTGGAAGCTGCGCCAATCGAGCAACCACTATGAACAGAGAATCTTGTTCTGGACCATGTATGACGATGGTTTTTGAAAATCCTGATGAAATCGGATGTAAGATTTTTAACTCCTGTTGAACTGTATATTCAGGTGTATAGGAATTCTTGAAAAAGAAATTAGAAACTCTCAATTTTCAACAAAATAGTTTTCCAGCTACTCAAGCTCCAACCACCTATGTTGTCCGTGGTTGTCATCGGACTCTAACCAATGTCGTAACCGACAGAATAACTAATAACGGAGATTTTTGTGAGCTCGACACTACCTACCGGATGGCTGATCGAAGAGGAAATGTTGTGAATGTTCGAATGATGACTATGTTATGTGGAGACCAAGATTTGTGTAATGATAACGAATTCATTCAAGCAGACTTTATGGTTGGAGTGTCCTGTGCCAATCAGACTAACAACAACTGTGAGTTTATAGTTTCCCAATCGGATTAACTTTTGAAAAAAAAGAACATTTCAGTGTTAAACAATGCTCCTCTCAACTGCTACGACTGCACACCTACTGAAGGAGATAACTGTCACGAGTCGAAATGTACGAAAAAGTACTGTATGAAACAACAAGTGAAACTCGATGGTGGATTCCAGCTGACAAAAACATGCACCAACGTGAACGTTCTTGGATTGGACAACGCCTGTCAGACATTTGACGTCCTCACAAATCCAGGAGGAGTCGCAGTTAAGAGTCAGTACACTCAATGTTATTGTAAAGACAAGCAGTTCTGTAATTCTGGAATCTCATATTCTGTCATTCTCTCTTCTTTCTTGACCATATTCTTCCGGTCTCTCTTTTTGTAACTCTTGTTGTCTATGACAATGTTTTAACATTTCAATAAATTATTCAGAATTCAAAAAAAAACAAGTCCTAACATAAATTACACGTTTTGGCACAAAGTTGATATCGAACATCATCATAAAAGGGAAGTGAGCAGAAACCATTTTGGGAGTAAACATCACATCGAGGATGTTTGTCCTCGCACTTTAACGGTTTTCGTGTGGTATTCGGCGTCAAGTTTTCCTGGAATTTTCGTTATTTAGAAGTGATTGAAAAGAAGAATTCCCACGTCTTCATCAATACTCCTAGCATATGAGCACAGTCTGCACGTCTTCTGACATGATTTGATCATCATTTGTTTGTAAAATGGATTCTTGCACATTCCACGCTGCAATTCAGAATTTAGAATTACGGTGTATGCTGCATTACCACTTCTTACCCTTCTATTTCCTTCACAACTAATTGCAGTAGCCACATCTTTACATGTTGCAGCCACCACTCCTTGATTACTGTACTGACCACCCCGTGTACCACATTGACCTAATCTGTTCAGTTTCTCGATATCAGTTGCAGTGAACTTCATGTTATCTTCCAATCGAACACCTGGTTTCAGAGGAATCATAGTAGCTAATCGAACCTGACGGACTCCATCCACTCTGCCGAATGCGTATCCATCATAATGCATGATGGATTTGTAGTCGTAGGAGTCTGGGAACTCAACCTGGGATTGTTGAAGTTTATCAAAGTTGACTGAAATTGGAGTAAAAAATGATATATCCTAGATTCTGGATCTTACTCATTTGACCTGGAATAACATTCGAATAGTCAACCCGAATGAATGAATCTCGATCAGGTCTCTGATGTTCATGTTCAAATCCAATCGCATGCATCATTTCATGCCAAATAATGTAATCAGCAATACAATCAGCGGCTAAGGAAAGAGCCTGTCTCCCGCCAATTTTACCAACATAGGAGTAACATCCATCCAGAGGAACTATGAATAGATAGTCATTTTGAGTGGTACGGTCAACGAATTTGAAACAAGATACTCTTTCGAAATAACGAAGAGAAGATATTAGAATTTTCTTTCTGAATCAAGATGGTGGTGTTATTTTGAGGAATGTGTTGATCCACTCACTGAGTTGCAGAGTATTGGGGGGAAATCACAAATGGAACAATATTATTTTCCCAACGATTATTGGAATTTCCTTTTATAGAAACACCACGAATCGTCAAATCAGAATCTTTAGAATTCTCATAGCGAAGTAATTGGGCAGGAGTTAAAACTAAAATTAGAGCATCAGAAATCAATGGCTATATATGTAAAACTTACGCATATCTCCAAACACTGTATGCTCTTTATTTTCATTTGTAACTAGATCTTGATTAATTTCCCATGACTGCTTCACAGCAATGGATACTGTACACAGATTTAATAGGATTACAAAAAATAAGGAAATATCTGTTGTGTACAACATTTATTGTTCGGAGATGACGAAAAAAAGAGTCTTCCAGAGATGCCATTGATGATTTTATACCACCGGACAATACGGAAAATCGAAATCGGCTGAGCACACACAATTCTGGGAGTGGCTCTTTTATTTGCTTCATAACAGAAGAAAGGATGTAATTGTTTCAAAGTCTGGATAAGCATTTTTTTTTGGTTTCCCAAAAATGCTCCTCTGCTAAAAACTAATGAATGTTTGATCTTTAAAATATGGATAATACATAACAGACAAGTAACAATCAGACATTCTGTTAACACTCTAATAGAACACCACCCAACCAGTCAACTTTGAACCCTTATATCTCATTTCCTGTAAACGATATCGAAAAGTGGTCAACTGACAAAACATTCTTGATACTATGATGAAAACTTTATCAGTTGACGACTTATTGATATCTTTCCCAGGAACCTAGAAAAATTGGACCAACGTTGAAAGTTACGGGTGGCTTTCTATTTGAGTGCTGAAGGTATTCATCTGATGATGACGGTAATAAAATCTTGCACGAGTCAAATTTATCCTCTGTGATCACTATAAATATGGAGACTTAAAAAAAGAATACTAGACTTTTTGTCTCCGCGCCCTTCGGCCAAATTATGATGTCGTCCAGCTGAATCATTTAAAAACTCCAAACCTGAAAACTTTTTAGAATAACGGAAGTCATAAAATATCCCAGTTTCATAGATAATTCGCGAATTATTGTAATGGGAGTTACAAAAAGCCAGAGCTAGGGAAGAGGAATGCCGTTGACTGAAGGTTTTATAACTACCGTAACCCAAAAATGTTTTTTTTTCGTATTTGTTTTCTCGTTTTTCGTTCGTTTTCAGTCAGTTTTTCGTAAAAAAAAGTTTTTTCACTATTATTTTTTTTACCGACACAAATTATAGAACACCTATTTTTGGTGTTTTTCACTGATTCTGCAAATTTTCACGCTTGAGTCGGACAATTCATATACAGTAGATTAAAGGAACATAATCGAAGCTGAGCTTTCTTTGCGAGACCCGTGCGCTCAAATATGGTGTCTTTCTTTTTCATCCAATTGATTTTTTTTTCAATTTTCCTGCATTTTTCTCGTTTCCAATCTAATTTTTCAACAAAAAACGATTTCGATAATCCCAACACATGCTCATCTTTATATTGCGATCTTTTATTTTCGTAAAAAGTTAAGTTTGCAAAATTCAGATTCCGATTTCCACTTTATCTATTTTGGATTTATCAATGAAGATCCATCGTTTCACTGAAAAAAAAACTTCTAGTTTTCAAAAAATACGGTAGTCTGACCGAATTTATTGCATCCATTGCACTTTGAGCCGGTCGCAATAAAATTGCCAAGCTTTGCTCCACAGGAGTGATTAATTGAACATGTGACTCCGGTTATTCTAAGCCATTCCATCGGTTCAATCAGATATTTTTGACATAAATCTGACAACTGTGGGTGTGCGATATTATCGCTGCTGAAGATAACCTTTCGACACTGCCGGCATCTGAAAATAGTAGTCAATTTTTGTTTATTGTTGAGAATTTTTTGACAAACTTGAATCTGGTTTCGGTTCGATCATCCAAAACAGGTTGTCTCCATATAGTTTTCGTATCTGCATCAAATGCTCCAGGAATGTCGATACTCAGGTTTGCGTATCTCTCTGGTGCAAAATCCATGTCACATCGTTCCCAAATTTTCAATTGCGCTAGAAATCCGGAATTGGGTCTGTAAGAAGGTGAAATCAATAGTCTTATTTAGTGGTAAACCAACCCGATAAACTTTCGAATCCCTTTAATCATGTTTAGAGCCTTTTCCATTGTCCACCGATTTTTGTACATCAAAAAAGCGGCACAGACAGATACACTTCGAGAAACAGCGGCAAGGCTAAAAAAAAACCTGATGAATTCAAATTCGAAGATTACTGTTTATACCAATGAACTACAACATTAGTCTCGCTTTCGATTCCTTCGTCAATGAATTTTAAAGCTTCTTCTAATAATCCATTCGATAAAATTGGCTCATTTGGCATGTCGAGAAGGCGGATAAACTTATAATCAACATCTTTCAATCTTTTATTTTCCGGAATCGGTTCTGTTGTCAGTGTGACAACTCTTTCGATCTGTAAAATCTTTGCATTTCAACTTGAGAAGTTTTGAGGTTATCTACATTGTTTTTGGCGAATTCTGCTTTGCTAGTTGGACCAACAATCATGGGCAACTGTGCCAGGTACAAATTTTCGGTTATTTTCCACATAATTGACTCGAAAAGCGGCTTACTTGATCAGATTTTCAGCAAAAACTGTAAAATTTTTGAGATTTCGCGCTAGTGCAACAGGGCGCGCTCGCATACGACTCCACGTGGAGTTGGGATAAATCCTCCCAAATATGGGGATTCTCTGTTTTCTGCCGACCCAAATATTCACATTCAAAGCTCTCAGTTTGTTGAAATTCGCCGATTTTTCTTTCCGCTAAGCTCATCGATCAGTGTAATACGTAATTCGTCTTGCAATTAAACGAGGTCATTGCCACTTGTTCTCTTCTCGCGAGAAAATCGCTCCTCCTTTGCTTCGCACACGGCCGGAAAAAAGATGCATGAGCGTCCTGCGTCTCTATTGCTTTTTCCGCCACACCTACAGTATCCAAACTGCAAAACGGGGAAGTAGGCACCGATTTGACAGCGATCGCTTTTCCCACAACAAATGTGTTCCGATTTGGGAATCATAACTTTTAGCATCAGTCGGTGTCCATTACTTTTGTTTTGGTTAGAAAACAGGAATCCAATAGAAATGTCAAATAGATACTGCTCCTTCTAAATATCTGTTTACATTCTTTTACATTCTTTCAATTTCTTGAACTTAAAATCTTCTTTTTATGCTCTCCACCTCTCAGCTGTTGCTTTGAGCAATCTGATGCTGTTCCATAACTTTCCATGCGTTGTTCCTTCTTGGAATTTATAAATAACCAACTACTATTATATCTTCAAGAGTCTTGAATCTAATTTAATTCGAATCTTCTCATTAGCGCATACACAAGCGTGTGCATTCTCTTCTCTTATTTTGGAATATGCTCAAACTAGCTTAAGAAACAACGTCATTTTTCCTATCTTCTTTTTTTCTCCTCGTTTCTTCCGCTCCTAACGGATCTCAGGCTCATGCCCATGCTCACTCGCCGTCTATCGATTCTGAAGCCCACGCCTCTTAATTTAGTTGTGTTGAAGGGAAGCCTTCTCTGTGTATGCGTTTCACACGTTTCTCTGCTTTTCGCTCTTGTCCTATGTTCACAGTCAGAGTTTAAAAAAACCACTCTTTCCGAATAGAGAGCGCTTCTGTACAGAATAGAATAAAATAATGTTGTGGGCGAAAATCATCGAAGCATGACACCTGGATTGCCCAGTCACTTTTTGTCAGCTTTTCTATTTTTGTTCTGTTTTGAATATTGAGCACAACTTCTAAAGCCGTAATTTATATTGCCGTTTTTCCTAAATCATAAATTAGTTTCTAAAATTTTCAGAGATGGTTAAACCACAAGGAGGACCCAAGGCATCGAAAAAGGCGCAACCACCCGTGTTCAGCCATGACTTCGTTATTCAGAATCATGGGGACATCATGTCGTGCATTGTGATGGTGTTCATCGTGGGATTGATGTTCCCATCAACTCACTCTTTGGCCTCCATTTTCATTGCTCCTCAATACAACGGTACTTATAACGAAACTAATGAAGCAGGACAAGTTCAAGAAGTTTATGGCTATCTCAGTGGACTCTGGGATTTACCTGCAATTTTCTTCTACTCGATTTGCTGGATTGTTGTTCATGCTGTTGTGCAAGAGTATGGGCTCGACAAAATTTCAAAGAAGGTATTTATTGTTGAAAATAGTTTTCAAATCTATTGTATTTGTCGTTTCAGACTCACCTTTCCAAAGCTTCCACATTCAAGTTCGGCGATTCGTTCCACCAGCTCTTCTTCACTTCTTATTCTCTTGGACACGCACTTTACCTAATCACCGAACGGACTGCAGACTTTTTGGATATCAAAAAGTAAAATTAGATACACAAAATTACATATACATTCTCAAACTAGTTTCAGAATCTGGCTAGGCTACCCCGTGGATCATCGAGTGATGAGCGCATCGTACAAGATCTTCTTCCTTTTGCAAATCGCTTATTGGATTCATCAGTTCCCAGAGTTCTACCTCCAGAAGCTGAAACGTGAAGAGATTCGCCAGAAGACATTCCAAGCTGTAATTCACATCGTCTTCATCTCTGCTGCTTATTTCTTCAACTTCACTCGTGTCGGATTAGTGCTTCTCGTTCTCGAGTATTTCACTCAGCTGATTTTCCACTTCGCACGTCTTTCTCACTTCCTTGGACGTAAAACAGTCTCGGCTCCATTGTTCAAGGCCTACAATATTACCTTTGTTTTGGCCCGTTTCGGATCTGTCATTCTTGCCGTTATGACTTTCTGGTACGGTCTTCGTCAAGCCGAGCTCCCATACGTCGATGCCTCTGCCGGAAACTTCAACACAGCTGCTATCCGATTGAACGTACTTCTTGGAATTGTTCTTCTTCAACTCTACCTTCTCTACTCATTCGTATCATTCCATATGGGACGATTCCGTGAGAGCAATGCCAAGAAGGAGAAGAAGAAGGCTTCTGCTGCAGCTGCTGCTGTTCCAAAGAAAGAGAAGAAACGACAAGACTCGGTAAGTTGCCAAATGCTCGCTGTCACATTCTTCCGTTTCAATAAATCCTCATTTTTCAGGAAAGCGATTCGAAGAAAAAGAATTAGGCAACGACTCGTGGCGACTTCCTTCATTCCTTCAAATTCCCACTTTCCTCTTCCACTTGCTTTTCCACCTTTCAAACTTTTGCAATTCCTCTCATGTAATTTATTGTTTGTAGCAAAAACCCAGTATTTATTTAAATTATATGTCCATACCCAAAGTCAAGTGATACAGTCAGATCCAGTCAATCAAAAATCCCACTTTAGTCACCCGTCTCTCCCAATTGTGATGTGTCTTCGTCGTTTTTAATAATTCGAAATTGCATTTCTTCCTTCTCTCTTCTCACCCAGTCTCCTTTTTTCATGTGGTCTATCGCTTTCTTTTCATTTTTCTCTTTCCTATCAACTATTTGGAAAATAGTTTGAATAAAAGTCGCCGTTTTAAATCTAAACTCTTGTTTCGGCAGAATTTGTTTCAGGTCAATAGTTGCTCGTATTTAGTATATTAATCATAAGATTATTCCGATAATCTTTGAATAGTTCACAGAATGGATCAGTGGGACCGACGATGCCGTGTAGCCACTTGCACTGTCAATAACTGGGCATTGGATTTTCGAGGAAATTATGAACGAATTGTGAAAAGTATTAGTGTAATTACAAGAAAAGGATAAAGAAATTGATTTCAGCCTGTTCTGAAGCCTATGCTCTCGGAGCACGTATTCGTCTTGGTCCTGAACTGGAAATTCCCGGTTACGGATGTGCGGATCACTTTTTCGAATTGGACACCGAAAGACACTCATGGGAAATGTTGAGCAAACTGGTTGAAAAGAGTAAAGAGTGGCCTGAACTTCTAGTTATTACTGGACTACCAACTCGGTTCCGTGGATTGCTTTACAACTGCGCTGCCGCCCTGAAGAATGGGTATTTTGGCAATTTTTAAATCAAAATAAGCTAACTTAATGATTTAAGAAAACTCTTATTCATTCGTGCAAAGATGGGGTTAGCAGATGATAACGTCTACAGAGAGTCCAGATGGTTTGTCAAATGGACAGAAACATTCAAACACTACGAAATGCCGTTAAACTCACAAATTCATTTCGAACAGGTTTTGCACCTTTTTCTGGTCTAAGCCATAATTGATAATTCTCAGAGCACTGTTCCTTTTGGCGACGGAATTCTAGAATCTTCTGACAATGCTCGTGTTGGATTTGAGATTTGCGAGGAGCTTTGGTCTTCGCGTTCTACAAACATCCGATTAGCAGAGCAAGGAGTTGATATCATTTGCAATGGATCAGGAAGCCATCATATTCTAGGAAAATCTAATTACCGTATCAATCAACTCATTCTTGGATCATCTGCTAAAGTAGGAGGAGTTTATTTGTATGCGAACCATCGCGGATGCGACGGGGATCGAGTTTACTACGATGGTGCGTCGTCGATTGCTCAGAATGGAGATTTATTGGCTCAAATTCATCAGTTTGATATTGAAGATACAGTGAGTTTCTGGTGGTTTTTAAATTGATTCTAATAGTAAATCAATTCAGTGTGTGGCCACCGCCATTGTTGATTTATCTGAAAATTCCGTGTTCCGCCAAATGAAGTCAAGTGATCGAGGAAATGCTTCGGATCAAAAAACTGTTGTTCCAATAAGGTTCGATGGAAATATGGCTGAAGGTGTCAAATTCAATGAAAAGTGTACAGAAAGAATGACAAGTATGATTTGATAGTTTTCTTTTAAAAAAGAAAAAAGTCCGATTTCAGACGTGGAAGATCTGCAACTGTCACCAATTGCTGAACTCTGCTATGGACCTCCTGCGTACCTTTGGACATATTTGCGGAGAAGTGGAATGGTTAGTTTTTGACAGAAACGCATCTATTGGACTGTCTCAGGCTGGATACTTTATCCCACTCTCTGGTGGCCAAGATTCTTCTGCGGTTGCTGCTATGGTTCGATTGATGTGCGAAAAAGTTTGTGGTGCTGTGAAGAAACGGCGAGAAACTGACGGTAATTATATGCTAGCACTTTCCAAAATTCAGATTATTTTTCAGGCGGAGACGACCCTGCTTATTACTTGGGAGGAAAGAAAGTTACTGAAGATGTTGCTGAACTTTGTAATCAGGTATGAAACAAGAATTGAATGCAGAATGCTTTTATTGAGAATACGAAATGACCTAAAATTGAAAATTGAGCGATTGAACGCATCGGTAGGGGAATTAACGGCGGTGTCCGTCCTCGAAGAAGACTCCTCCATCGAGAGCACAGTATTTTGGACACACTCCTTTCTCTCCTTGTCTTCCATCCTTTCCTGGTTGTCCTGGATGTCCTGGTTGTCCATCTCTTCCTGGTGCTCCTGGCTCTCCGCTGGCTCCCTTCTCTCCTGGACCTCCTGGAGTTCCGTCCTTTCCTGGCTCACCTGATGGCCCACGTGGTCCTGGCTGTCCTGGTTGTCCTGGCTCTCCTGGTGCTCCTGGTTGTGGCTCTCCGTTGTTTCCGTTCTCTCCTGGTGGTCCGGCTGGTCCTGGCTTTCCTCCTGGTCCTGGCGGTCCGGCTGGCCCCTTGTTTCCTGGCTCTCCGTTTGATCCTTCTGGTCCTGGTGGTCCTGGTGGTCCGAGTGGTCCCTTGTTTCCGTCTGGTCCTGGTGGTCCGGCTGGTCCTGGTGGTCCTTCTGGGCATGGCTTGCATGGTGGTGGGGTGAGTGGCTCACATGGCTCCTTTGGTGGTCTTCCTGGGTTTCCGTTGAGTCCTGGTGCTCCTGGCTTTCCTGGACGTCCGACTCTTCCTGGAGTTCCTGGTGGTCCTTGAGCTCCTGGAAGACAGCATCCCTCGCATTGTCCATTTCCTTCTCCAACTTGACGAGCAGTACGGTTGTGGGCCATCACAAGGTCTGGGATACTGTTGACTTGCGAGAAGAGACGTTCAGCCTCAGACTTGCACTCAACGATGTCATTGTGCATAACCTTGCGAGTGTGGTGAATGTAGTTGTACATGATTGGAAGAGTCACGCACACTGAAAAAAGAAAATGTTTAGATTCTGGGAAACTTTAGAAGTTTCTCACCTGACAACACTGCGATGGTTGAGAAAGTCAAGGCAGCATACCCGACGAAGCGGTAGGCTTTGATGCGAGAATCGATGTCCATGTCGAGAAGAGAAGACCGTCGAATGGTGAAGTTCCATGGTTACGGCTGCCCTTTTATACTACCGTTGCGACCACTTTCCCTTTCAATTACTTTTTCGGTTTGGCTTTTGGTTAGGTAACATCATCTCACAATCATCTCAGTTTCCGTACACTCTTTCGTCAGTCTTCCTGCAAAAAAAAACAGTGGGTACGCTTGAACGTTGTAATATAGAAGACAGAAAGTGAAAGGATAGGGTGATGATTTTTTTTTTCATGGAAAAAAAGATAATAGTTTAACTTCCTCTCTACTTGGACAAAAGAGAAACGGATAGAAGTTTTAATTAAACTTGTAGTTAGACAGTAATTGAAATTGTTACAGGTGCTGTTCACGTGTTACATGGCCAGCGAACATTCATCAGATGAAACAAGACAGTGTGCTGAAGGACTTGCAAGAAATGTCAACAGTAACCATTGCGGGTGAGACTCAGTTTCTCGAATCGAAAAATCATTATCAGAAAATCAACTTTTTTTTCAGAATTTTCATCGACACTGTTGTCAGCTCCATTCTTAAAGTGTTCAAGGTGGCATATGGTTTCATGCCCTCCTTCCAGGTAACACTACTGTATCTTTGCTACAAAAAAACCAACAATATTTTCAGAACTCAGATAATCGAGAGATAATGGCTTTGCAAAACATCCAAGCTCGTATCAGAATGGTTCTTGCTTATCTCTTTGCTCAACTTGCCCTGGTATCTCATAAACGCCCTGGAGGCCTTCTTGTTCTGGGAACAGCAAATGTTGATGAAAGTTTAGTTGGATATCTCACAAAATACGATTGCTCATCTGCTGACATCAATCCGATTGGATCTGTGAGCAAGAGAGATTTGCGTCAATTTTTGGAAATTGCTCATGATAAATACGGAATGACAGCTTTACGCAGTGTCATTGATTCGACTCCAACTGCAGAATTGCGGCCACTGGTGGATGGAAAAGTGTCGCAAACGGATGAAGCCGAAATTGGATTGACCTATGATGAACTTTCAGTAATCGGAAGACTCCGAAAGCCAGGAGGAATGGGTCCATATGGAATGTTCTTGAAATTAATCACACTTTGGGGAGACAAGTATTCGGTTGAAGAGGTAAGGAGAAAATACAGTAATTTATTTTCAAAACCAATTTTAGATAGAGGAAAAAGTTCGAAAATTCTGGTGGAGATATCGTGTGAATCGCCACAAGGCAACCGTTTCCACTCCTGCGATCCACGCTGAAAACTATAGTCCAGATGACCATCGAAACGACCATAGACCATTCTTGTATCCTGATTTCTCTTATCAATTCGAGCGAATCCGGGAAAAGGTCGAGGAGCTCAAACAATCTAGAAACTGATTAAATTATTTTTAGTATTTATTCTGAGGTCAATGAATAGTTTTTACTTTTTTTTACTGCACAGCAAAGCAAGCACACAACTCTAATTTCTTCCACCTAGTGCCACATCATCTCACCAATCTTTTCCTGAACATCTAGTTTATTTCTGAGCAAACGAACGATGAGTTCAGTCTTGTCAAGTGTTGGTTCTGCGAGAAGATCGATTAGAAATATCTGGCGAAAAGTAAAGTTAGGGGTCTAGTAGTACTGTAAGAACATTCTTCAGGATCTATACTATTTCCGTTCGAATCATCCATTTTTCATTTTAATCTTCATCGCTCTATTCGTCACATGTTACAATGTTTGGTGGCATAATGCGGTATATCTCCAGAATTCTTAGAACCTATGAAGAAAAGAATTTTATTTAGCAAGCTGCGAACGAATCGCTCGGAGCAATATCTAGAATGGATGTGTTCGATAATTTCAGATTGTCGAAGCACAAATTTGTGAGAATGTTGGTTAGTGACATTTCCAAATATTCGACGGTCCCACAATGACAACTACAGTAACCTGAAAATAATGATTTCCGTGCGATTCCGGTCAATTTTTTGACTGTCAAAATTCTTCTTTTCCGACCTTTTTTACTAAAAATAACAGAAAAATCGGCAAAAAGCTGTAAAAATCGAGAAAAAATCCGAAAAAAAATTTTAGGTTACTGTAGTTTTCGTTGTGGGACCTTCAGCCACGGCCACTGGCTTTTGTCTTCCACAGCTCCTTTTTTGCATACCAGAAAAAAAAACTAGTTTATAATTTCCAGATTTGCATTCCAAAGACGGTAGTGGACTACCGTTTTTCTACAGTAACCGATGCAATTCGTCTAACACATTTGGATTTTCCTGCTCTGGAATTCACAAAAGACTTGGAAAAAGCAAGAAAACGATTGAGTGATGGCGACATTGATAGTAGGTGGAAGGCTACATTCAAGATTATTTGAGTTGATTTTTCAGTTTTGATTCTTTTCACAAAACTGATTGAAACAGGAAAAGACGTCGAGTACAACATCATCAGCCAAAACGGAGACCTGAATAAGTATCGAACTTTTTTTAAAAATAACTATTTTGTTTTCAATTTGTTTAAGGCACTACTGTATTCACTGTGATGATAGAAGAAAGGAAACATGGGGAAATGCAATCGAATCACAAATTATTGTCAATAGATTCCTATACTGGATGGTCCGATCTAGAGGATTTAATCATAGGAAACCACATTTTCATTTGAGCAATATCTATGTTAAAGGGACCGACAGTGATCCAATGTATTCGAAAAGACAGGTAACATTGATTTTCGATTTATCTCACAAATACCGTAAAACCTCTAATAGAAGAGCCCTATTGTCAAATTTGAGCTCAATTATCTCGATTCCTGTGAAATATATCAAACATTTGTCAACTGATAAAATATTGGTAATATCATGATAATTAGTTTATCAATTGTCCACTTTTTCATATCTTTGGCAGGAACCGAGATAAATTGGCTCAAAATTGAAAGTTAGGGGACCTTTTATTAGAGGTTTTGTGGTATCTTCCGATTTCAGACGGATTTATTTATTGCATGGCTGATTCTCATCCCAATTTGCTCTCGATTAATTGACTTGTGGAACGACGAACGAGAGAGTGGATTTTATGTAAAACATCTAAACCTAACATTCTGCTATCAATTACTTTCAGAAGTTGCTTCTTTCCCTTCGTGTCCGCCGAATTGAATATTTCATTGCAAAGTATGTCTTCTGGTACGGAATCTCTCTGGTCATCAGTTTAACAGTTTTCGTTGTAAATGTCTCTGTGGTGAGTTAAACTCAAACCCTGCCATTTCTCATTCTTTTTCTCAGGTCCCAGCAGTATTCACTGCTACTTATCTTCCATTTTTGGTATGCTACGTGGCATGTATCATAATGTTTACTGTTTTCCTGGCAACGCTTTTCCCTGGATCACCATTGGTTTCGAAATTTGGTATTGATTTTTCATATAGGTTTTCACATTAATTTCTTATCTCCTAGTTGGATTCCTTTTGATGGCAGCTGGGGAATTTGGATTCGGAAATGTGTATCAAGGAACCCTATTTTTCCAACTTTCTGTTCGATTTTTCGGAAAAACAGAAGGTGATGGATATTGGATAGATGCAGTATGCCTGATGTGTATGACGGTCAACAGTGTTCTGATGATGGCACTGTCTGTTTATCTCGATACTTTCTTTTTCTCATACACTCAAGAGCCACTCAAATTCTATTTCCCCCTGGAAAGATCATACTGGATGCCTGCTCCAAGAGGTCCTTTAGTTGACAAGTTCTTCATAAAACAGATTCTCGTTCCGAAAGTTGTCAAGAATGAATCAGCTCTCAAAAAGTCAGTAGAAGCAGCTTCTCCTATCAAAAAAACCACAACGAATGGGAAAGAAGCGAACCCAAAAGAAATTTCGCATTTCCCATTGGTTGTTTTTTATGGAATTTGTAAACGAATCAACAATCATTGGAAAGTGAATCAGTTGAGTTTGACAATTCGTCTTGGAGAAATTCTGACTCTATATGGTCATTATGGATGTGGAAGTGACGAGATTTTGTCTATTCTCAGTGGACAGATGAAACCGGAATACGGAGAAGTAATGATGGAAAAATCACAAAGATATCTGATAGTTTCGATGACGGCGGATGTTCCAAATCTGAACTACCTCACAGTAACCAATTATCTTGAATTTGTGTGTAGTATGAGGTCAGTCTGAAAAATTTATTGACAAATTCAGAGTTCTATTATTTAAGGGGAGTCTCTCTATCATTTTCAATCTTGACCGAGATGCTCGAAGAGTTGGATCTTGTGAAAGTGCAGAATAGACCTCTCGATCTTCTCTCCACAACTCAAAAAGAGCGTCTCAGAATTGCTGCTGTTTTTGTTGGGCATCCCGATTTAGTTTTAATTGATTGGCCAACAAAAGAATCGTTACCCGAATGGAAGTATATGATCCTTCGATTTATTGAGAAACGGAAAGAGAATAAGTGATTTGCTGATCCCAGTTTTCCTCCAATCCTTGCTTCCTCATTTTCAGAGCCATCATCATATCATCATACGATGCAGAAGAAACTGAAGCGATATCGGATAAGGTGGTATTGTTAAGTGAGGGATATGTGGTTTTGAATGGATCCAGTGAGATTTACAAACAATCGTAATTATTATCCCAATATGGAAATTACCGGTTTCAAACTGAATTTCAGAATGAATAGTGTTTTCGAAGTTCGTCTTTGGCCTCTTTTTGCATTCACTGATGACCAAATTCGTGGAATGATAGCTGCTGTGACACTTGGGGATGAGCAAATGAAGAATGATGCAAAGTTTTTTGAAACTTCGAATGGAAAAATCCGAATCACTCTGCCGATCATTTACAGAAGAAGGTGAATCTGAATTTTTTCAAACTCTGAATTTTAAAAAAGTATTCTAGTATCCCCTTGATAATTCGAGAATTGGAAGCAATCGCAGCACAATATGAAATTGCTTTCTACGAATTCAGCAAACCAAATATTCACGATATTTATACAAAGTGAGTTATTTCCATAGATGTCCGGATTCCGAATTCCGGATTCTGGTTTCAGAATTCCGGTTTCCACTTTCCACTTTTCGGACTCCGGATTCTTGAGAATTCTGGATTCTGGATTCTGGATTCTGGATTCTGGATTCTGGATTCTGGATTCTGGATTCTGGATTCTGGATTCTGGATTCTGGATTCTGGATTCTGGATTCTGGATTCTGGATTCTGGATTCTGGATTCTGGATTCTGGATTCTGGATTCTGGATTCTGGATTCTGGATTCTGGATTCTGGATTCTGGATTCTGGATTCTGGATTCTGGATTCTGGATTCTGGATTCTGGATTCTGGATTCTGGATTTTGGATTCTGGATTCTGGATTCTGGATTCTGGATTCTGGATTCCGTTTCTCGAAAATCGCATTCCGGACATTTAATTTCACAGTTCCTGCTATGAACCACTGCAATATCAACCACTGGAAAACTATGACCAACTGAAAGAGTATTATGCAAAACGTAAATCAACTTTTTTCTAATTCTTCATGTGACTTTTTTTTTCTATAGAAGAGCCAATTAGTCGAACAATGTACTTCTTCAAAAATATGGTACGAATCCTCAAGGACAGGCAATTTCTGTATCAAGCAGCTGCAATTTTTGGTCTTTTCTTGGTTCTCGGTCTACTTACTTTGATATCGTACCACGGAACTCATCAACATTGTAGCTCTCTTTTTCTATCATCAAAATCAATTTGATTCATTTTTCAGACACTCATGAAATCTCCTTTGAAGCTAACGATCGCCCTATCACTATCTACTGTGACGATTGTAATTCGAAAGGAATCACAACTTCTCAAGTTACATTTGTTAAGAAAAATGATAGACAACAATTGATGGATAACCAAGCTGGTAGAATTTTAAAAAGTCCTCGTTTCTTGTATAAATATACTTTCAGTTCTCTATTGGAAACCAAAATCCGCAAAAGCAGATTTGGAACTGTTTTCTGTGAGTCGTGGAGATGAAACATTCACAATGGTCGTTCAAAACTTTGCTATCTCCCAATTGATTGCCAAAATGATTGGAAAACGTAAAGTTTCTGATGAATTATCTCTATGATAATGGAAATTTTAGCTCCAAGGATCAAGCCAATTCTTGAAAGTGGAGAATTCCGAACAAGCATCACAGAAACTGGATTCTCGATGGTGTTCAATGACGTCAGCAAAAATCAGGCAGCCATGATTCTGTTTGTTTTTTCATGAGATGCACAGAATGCAACTAAAATTTTTGCAGATCTGAATCATATCCTCTGATGTACACATTTGGAGTGTTCCAGACTTTTGTCTACACTTTATCAGCAATTCTTCCATTACGATTGATTTCTGTCAATATGAGACCAGACAGTCTTCTGTTTCCGTGGCCAAGATATTTATACTTCAGTCTCATCTTTGGTGCGAACCTGATCATGTTCATGGTTCTCTCGATTATTCTGATTTCCATTTTTCTGTTTATGGGCTTTTTCCAAACAAGTGCTGCTTTTTGTTTCTTGTAAGTGTATTTCCTTTAAACACTCTAATAGAACGCCACCCCTAACTTTCAAATTTGAGAAAATTTATCTCGGTTTCTGTGAAAGATATCAAAAGGTAATTCATGATGAATGTTTTGCCAGTTGGCCACTTTTTAAAATATCTTTTACACGAGTTGAGATATATGGACTGAAAGCTGGATGTTTGGGTAGCACGATTAGGGTGTTTACGGTCACTATTTGCAGCCGTCTGTTTGGTGCATGGTTCCTTTCCTACATTTCAACTCTTCCGTTGATATACCTTCTCGTATTCACAATCCAGAATTCGATGGCTGTTGTTCCAACAGTCATGGCGATTTCTTCTCTTTTGGTCTGTCTTCCAAATATGGTTTCTTCATTTTCGGCTGAAAACCAAATGTCTCTGCAATCTTTATTAAAGTTTGTTAGTTGGACATGCATGATAAGTCCTCCGACTTCTCTTCAAGTACTCGCTTCTTTCCTAAATGCAGGAGAATTCCACGAAGAGAACAATGGAAGTGAGTTTAAAATTTTGCTCAGTGATTTTCTTTGGTCTTTTTCAGCAATTACAGCGTTGACTCTATTTTGTGGTGCACATATATGGATTTTAGTTATTTTTGCCGCTTGTGTTTTTCAACCAGGATTCTCTCTCATCCGACAACACTGGTTCATTTCTTCTGTATGTATCTTTTTCTTTGAATAAAAAAAGATAATTCTCCTTTTCAGACTGCAATCTGGTCTACATTTGAACGAGGAACAACTTTGAAACCGGGTGCTCGAATTAAAAACAGTTTTCTTTTCCCAGCAAGTCCAGCTCCACAGACGGGGGATAGTACAACAGGAGAGAAACCATCAATCGCAGATGGAACTAGTAGATCAGCAGCCGGGAGAGAAATTGACGCCAAACCAAGTTTGGATTATATTTCTGGAGCTTCATCGAGTAATGAAGATATGAGTTATATCACAAATTACGAAGAACATTTGATTGGAAAAATGGCAACAATGAAAAAATGGAATGATAATCAAGAGATTCCAGTTGATAACTCTGCCACTTATTTGCTGGGAGATCAAACGAAGCTCAAAAGTTCTCTATTGAAAACTATTGCGGAGACCAATCCGAAAGTAGATTCCACTTTCATTTTTACTGAAAACCTTTTTTTATTTTTAAGGAGCAAATTGCATATGTTCCGTTTGAGGAATGTCTTCCATCCATCTACACTCCATTTGAGCTACTAGTGAACGTAGCAGCTTGTCATGGTTTCGAAGTCACCGAAGAGCACATTAATTATCTTTTGAATGCGTTTGGAATGAAATCTTTGGCTGCAACTCCCATCAGTTTACTGACGTAAACTCAGATACCAAAAAAATTAAAACCCCAAATTTTGATTTTTTCAGTGATGCCGATCGTCGAATTCTAATGTTGCTTACGAAACTCGTCATAAAACCATCGATTGTGATAATTGATCAACTCGAAATGTTCCTTCCTCATCCAAAAATGATGACAGTCTGGGCAATTTGTGCACGTCTTCGTGCTGATGGCGTCGCAATTATGTACACTTCTCGCCATAACAGCTTTGCTGAACACACTGCAACATGTTGTGCACACTTATACAAGTGCCAATTTGTGAGCACACTTCCTCCGTCAGCAATCAAAGCAAGGTGAGAATTCTCTCGAAGTTTTAGGATCTCTGAAATAATTTTTTAACAGAATGGGATACACAGTTCTGGAAATTGTTCCAAAAGATATCGAACCATTGAAACTACTAAAAATGATCCAAATGGCAATGCCTGATGCAATACAAATGCCTTCAACAAGACAAACGCTCACAGTGATTCTGAAGAGAGATGACGTGGATACTGTTGAAATGGTATTTTTTAACATCTCTTCTGAAAGTCATTATTATCGTTTTCAGGTTCTCGGAAACATCAGAACAATGAGTAGCAACATCCAGAGATACTCTCTTCGTTCCGGAAACTTTGATGAGTTTGTGGCATCTGCTTTCGGAAAGTGAATTAGCTGATGTTTTCATCAATAAATCTTTTCTTTCTATTTTTCTTTGACTAGTTACCATTTCTCGTGATTCCTCTTTAGACTTTTCAGCTGTCTTCTCTTTTCTCAATTAACACCGAGAGCAGCTGAAAATCAAATTCAGCCAAGTGGTGCGTATTCAGAATTCCATTTTCTCTTATCTACCACTTGAGAGAAGCTCTTTCCCTTTTTTTCTGGCTGAGTCTTCAGTCGGTGACGTGGCACTTCTGCCATGTCACAGAATTACAATTGGAACGATGTCGCTTATGAGATGGCTCCGATCTCTCAATATACAGATCTGTACTCAAATCAACCAAGGATTTACATGTTTGAAGGAGGTACGATTTTCTCTAATAATTTAATTTTTGAGAAAAAAAAAATTTAAGCTAAAATCATCGATTTAATCCTTCTTCTTCTAACTGCTGTAGTAACAACGGTGTGGTTGATTATTCTTACCCGAGCTGAATCAAATTTAACAAAGTCCCTTTTGACAGTTACTGTGTCCCAGATTTTTGTAAATCTTCTGGTGAGAGCATTCAAATCTGCAATCATACTCTTCATTGAGTATCCCCAGTTTTCATGGTAATGTAATAAGCATTTTTTGAATACATCTTGTTATTCTAGGCTTTTTGTGGCAAGTAGTGTCGAGACTTCATTCCACTACACACTATATCTACAGTACACTTCATCAGTCCTTTTGTATGTTTTTCTCCGCGAGAAAGATATCAAAAGTTCCTGGACTTTGTGAGTTGATATCCGGTGATTATCGAAAACAGTTTCAAGTAAGCCTTCAGGTTCTACTACATTCCATCAATCGCTGTGGCTCTTTTTGTTTCGATTCTGAATGTGAACTTTAATAAGCTTCTTCTCTCTTTCCCATTTTATATTTATGTCATCTTTTACGTTGGGATGGTCGTTTCGAATGTTGTAATTTTGATTGGAGTAAGTTGTCTGAAAAGTAAATGTTGGTTTGAAGCTACCAGATATTTCAGATTATCGCTTCTTGCACCAAGTACACTCGTGAGAAACTTGGAATCCGTTGCCGCCTCTTTCTTTTTGTTTTCTCTGCGTCTCCGCCCACCCTTTTCAATACCGTAATCACAATCATGGACTTGTTGTTTATGGTTGTCGGGATTACCGATCAATTCCCGATTCGTGAGTTTTCCAGGTGTTTCTTTTGAACCTGATCATTCTAGCCTACATCGTGATGACGACCTATCGGTACAAGGCATTCGAGATCACTCCGTTGTCCATTCTTTTAGCATTCTTTGCATTGATGCCGGATTTGAGGTAATATTTTCTGGTCAAAAATAAATATAGAGAATTTCAGAAAATGGAAGACTTCAAAGACTACAACAACTGCTGAAGTGACTTCAACTGTGACTGAATCTCCATCTATCTCATCCCCTTCTCCGATTCTTCCAACAACAGTTCTAGAAACTTCTGTTCCAATTCCACATCAACTCGAAGACATACCAAGTGTGCAAACAACAACTGCACCAATAGCTACATACGGAAACATGAACTATGGAATGGGAGCTCTTGTTGTCCATATTCAACCAATGAACAATTAATTTGTAAACTGTAAACAAATAAAGATGAGATACTTGTTAACAGTTTGTTTCACAAACAGCGGATAAAATGTGTAAACTAAAGTTATTTCTAGTTTTTCAGCTATGTGCCAATTCTGAAAGGCCCCCTTTTTTACCAGTTTTGAAACTGAAAAAAACAGGTGTCTTTCAGAAATCGGCAAATAGCTGAACAACCTAGAAATTTCAACAAAATGCTGAGAATTAAAAGTTTTCAATCTCGGTCTGTTCCGCACCCTCCGAAATTTTCAAAGTGATCAGAAACTTGACAGCCAAGCTCCAGACTCCTGACAATGGTCAAAATGACCGAAAATCAACTGGAAAATATGTTTTTGTATATCTTAATGACCGGTTTTCTGGAAAAAACTTCATACATTTTTGCTCATTCAATTTATTAAACAAAAAACACATTTAAAAAAGATCATCATAAAACTTGCACAAAAAAGAAAAAACAAGAACACCCGAAAACTGGGGAAAAAGTGAGAAACACATGAAAACCCAGAGAATATCTTTATAAACTACGTTGAGTTGATCTGAATGTACTATGGGTTAAGACGTCATCTGGCAGGCATAACCCAGTCCTTCCAAACGATTGACCATGCTTTGTTGATGGAGAGGGCAACTGCTAAACGGACGGGGAACTGAGTGCGTCGGAGTTTGAAAGTCAAGTTATTGTCGTCGTAACAGTCGATTCTTGGGATCAAGACTGTTTGCCCAACATGACTTCCATCAACAAACTGGCATTTCAAAATACTTCTCCCGATATCCACGACCTTCAACCGTGTCCCATTGCAAAGTCCAGTACTCACATCCAGATTCCTCAGCAGCATCACAATCGAACCAATCTTGAGCTTCAACTTATGTGGTGGGAGCGAAGATGTGTCGATAGAGTTCAGAAACTCTGTCGTGGTGACCTGCCTGTTGCTATCATCTGGTACCTCATCTCTGGAGTAGAAGACTTGTAGTTTTCAATATTTAAATATTAATACAATAGTTCTAACCTTTTCTGCTCCCTCCATTTTGTTGTTAACATCTTCGTTCATTTTGACGACATTGACATTTTTTTGGTATTAAGATTGCGGACTCGGATATATCCTCTCTTGATTTTCTCTCCAAATACTCAATTTATAGAGCTCCTCTTCCAATACGTAAATAATACTCTTCCGATACGATCGGCTTCGTCATTTGCGGATCCATCTCCAACCTTAAGAAGAAATTGGATAAATTGGATCCGATCCATATCTCCTCCCGATACTCGCATATTTGATTTAAGGTGAAGTGTTTGAAAATGTTGCCAGAGGAAGCTCATTTTGATGCAACCATCGACTTGATCCTTGCGTGTTCCTCTTCTGATTACTGGCAACACTTGCTTGAAGTCTCCTCCTAGGATTATGACTTTCCTCCAAATGGAATTTCGTTCTCCATTACATTTCGGAGTAATTTGTCCATTGTCGTGAGCGCATTCTTCGCAATCATGCTATCCTCGACCACGATGAAAACTTTGATTTTTCGAAGTAGAGCAGCTCGACAGTCGTTCTTGATGTCCATTTTGAATAATGAAGCAATGGTTCCTCCATCCGGAAACAAGGTGGAGGTGACGCCGGTCCAAGCACAGCATGCGATCTTGATGTCTTTTCCATGGAGTACTTTAGAGATGACGTTGTAAAGATACGTCTTCCCACTTCCTCCTGGACCACCCAAGAAGAATAATCGCTGTAGAGTGAATCATCCACTGTTTCTATTATTCTTCTGAATGCATTCGTTTGTAGAGGATTCAATGTATCCATAAGACGATCTCCTTGTTTCCTGATGTCGTCAAAATCAATTTGTTCAAGGAGAGGAACAGTCAAGACGTATGTGGGTGGAGCTATTAAAGCCTTATCAATCGTTCTTTCCACTTTCCCAGCTCATCTGATAATACAAATTTTGTAGGGAAATTCATGTAGGAGCATTTTCTTGGATCTTCTTTTCCAGAGATATCATCTCGATTAGCCTCCATTTCATTTAAATCTGCATTCATTTTGAAGTATTCCATTAACTTTGATTCTTTTCTCTCAGAAGTAGCAACAGCTTCTTTTTCTTTTCCCGGGATGAAAGTCACACTTTGACGATTGGGTAGATAGATGGGGAGTCGGCAGATGACGTGGGATTTGATCTGTCATGAGACGAAAAGATGATGACAGGCTTCTGGATCACAGACGTATCTGCAATCCATATACGAACATCTCGTCACGCTCCTTTCCACCGTCTTCTACATTTTGAATCGCAATTGAAGCTCAATCTTGCCCTTTCTAGACGTACTTTATGAGGTACTTGACTACTTCAATCAGAGCACATACCTCGTCATTGATATGAGCATCAAACATCAAAAGGAGATCCGAATTGTAGGGAACGACGTGTTGATTCGTCATGTCACATCCTCCTGACTTGATACTTTTTTCCATTGTCACGTCTTCTGTACTCTAGATACCCATTCTGTTCCCATTTCGTCTCGTCCCGAAATGATTTTGGGAACCTTTTCATGCAGATTCCATCTTTGTTGGTACATGGAGAATTGGGATTATTCAATCCACATGGTCTAAGAATTAGATCAAACTAAATGCTACCTATGAATCATTTGTCGTGCCACAATATCATGAAGTCGTGGTTCTAGAGTGGGATCTGGAATCTCAGCACCAATCAATCGTTCGATGTCGTCCTTCGTTTTAGGCTTATCTCCTTCTTTCATAGCGAGAAGCATTTGAAGATGTGGTAATCCTCTCTTCTGCCATTCAAACACACGAATATGGGTCTTCACTTTTCTAAGTAGAATCTTTTCAATATCACATCCATCGAGTGATCCACTTTTTCATGGAAAACAGGACGATCAGAAGAAGTGTGTCCAGAATACGAATTCTTACTGTATTCTTACTCTTTTCTTACTCTTCTTACTGTAAATATTCACAATTTGTTATTTCAATTTTTTTCAAGAATTGTCAGTCGACTGATATCAGTGGGTTTACAACACTCAAAGTGTTTAATATTCAGAATTTCGAAAAATTGGTTATTCAGAAATTTGAAAATTTGAAAAATTCCGGAATTCGGACAGCTTTTGAATTAATAGATTCGAGAATTTCTGAAATTAAGGAAATCAGCTATTCCGGAATCAGGGATTCATAAATAATCAGGGATTCATAAGGGACTTCATAAATTCAACTTCTGAATTCGAAGATTATCAAGTTATCTAATCATAAAACTCTTAAATTCTGAAGTTCGAACATTTGGAAATTCAGAATTTCTCGATATTAATAGACATCCACTTTTCTTTAATTAGGGAACTAAAACAAATCTTAAAATCCCCCAAGTGTTAGATGTTCTGATTGCATATTTTCAAATGCTCTTCACAAATATTTAGAAAGATTTATTGACGCATACTTATTATACAAGATGTTTCTAAAATTTCAAAGTATTGACAAAGTTAATTAGTGAATTAGTTTCCTTCAGCGTCTTCTTCCTCCATTTTTCTGAGCTCTTCGAGTAAATATTGCAGCCGTGCCACTTTTGATTTTTCTCCGAACGGAAGATCTGGTACAAATGACGGAATCATTGACTCTGTGAAATTTCGCACTGTTTTCAGCGCTTCATTGTAAGCAGTAAGTAGATCAATATCATCTTGCTTTGTCCAATGCTGAAAAACCGTTTGATTTCGGGAATTATAAATATCTTTCTCTCCCTACTCTTTCCGTTATTTCCAATTGTATAAATGACTCGTCTTCTTTCTGAATACACATTTCTCCACATTTCACTACTAAATTCGACGGTGGTTCATTCTTTGCAGGTTTATACGGATATCTCAACACTTCGTCTATGTTATCTATAGTCTCGAATCGAGGAGGCACGTTTTTCTGAAACAAAAACAAGTACACTTTATAATGTCTAATTATTCTACCCAATCTGATTTTGGCTTCTTTCTCGTTTCTAATCCCGTTAAATCAACATATTCAAATTGCTCCCATCTTGGCGCTTTTCGTTTAAATGGAAGACACCAAAAGTGTGATTCTAGTTTCTTCCATAAAGGCCGATCCTGTCCAAAAAGCTGATAAAATCTCATCGTTGCTTGTTCGTCGGTCAAATTAGGATCGTCTTCTAGAAATGTTTGAACGAATCGGAAGAGGCCTTTCAGTGACGGCTCCTTTAGCTTCGCAGCTGTGATGTATCGCTGGAAATTGATGAAAATTAAAAAATAATAATATAAGTTAACCTCAATCGCCATCATCATTTCAACAGCTGATTTATATGAGAGGGAGTTAAAATCCAAATCATAGTCAGATACAATTGCTTCTGGTGGAGCGTATAGAAGAACGAGGATGAGCAACTCTCGATGGTTTTTGAGAATCTGCATTATCCGGGAAACTCTCTGAAAATTAGTTGAACAGAGACTCATGATTCTACTCATGATTCTTAAGAAAATCTCACCTCAATCTCCGACAATTCTTCATTCAAAATAGTTTCCTTGAATTTTTCATATGTGTCTCCATGCATAAAAAGTCTTTTGCCGATATCGTCTATCACTTTTCGCATTATTTTATCTTTCTGTTTCTCATGATACAACTCATCATCAAGTCCTATCGCTCCCATGGCTTCCTGGAAAACTATTGAAATTACTGAACACTGTCAGATTGCTCACTCTTTCAGCTCTCGTCCTTTTCCTGGATGCCCTAATGGCCGTGTTCCCGGCTGCAACTAGCTTCCTCTGTAATTATTTTATCGTGAATAATACAACTTTCGAATGTATACCATTCTCAGAGGTGGTCTAGAACCGGCTAGACCAACTTTTACAGGCGTCTCATCTTTTTCTGAAACAGCATCCTCTTCACATTCTTCGTCATCAGGAGGCACAAGATCGAGTCCTGGCATTGAAGTATCGTCTTCTATCACTGGCTCGGGCATGTTGAAATTGACAGGCGATGCAGATGGTGGTGCATCAGGAATCGAACCAGAATTTGAGTTCTCATAATCCAAATCCGTCGAATATCCCACATTCCAGTAGGAGGAAGAAGGCTCTTCGACTGCATCCAAGTCACATAATTCGTAGTCGTTTAGTGAAGAAAAGTCCGTTGGATCTGATTCCATATACTCTGATTCCATAGAAAATCCACGGGGTGTTCGAGGATTCACAAGTGAGAGTGCAGGGGACTCTCGAGCCCATAATAAGCTGTTCGTTTCCAAATCCATGAAAAAATCGTCATGCTCATCTGGAGATCTACGACCCGGCGTTGGGGGGATGGGGTAGGAGTGGCCGGAAAGGGAATTGGTATCGATGCCATATAAGTCACCAGGGGTCTCAGGAACTTGTCTAGAATCACTTTGAGGACGTCTTGATTTCCGCGTTGTAGTAGGAATAGAGCAGTTCTGTACAGATTGACAAAAACTGTAATCCTCATTACTCTCGTACGTGTAAGAACAGGAGGGTTTCTGTTCATCGATCATCTCCTTCTTAACAGACGAATTTGCAGAATTCTTTGAAGTATCTTTGGTGCATTCTAATTTGCGAGCTGCTTTCGAAGAACGAGAAGGTTTTGTTTTCTGTGCAACATTCTCTGTTTCTGGTGCCGTGCTCAGTTTCATCGGGGTAGGGTTTTTACGACGGTTCGAACTCTAAAATGTCTCGAATATGAAAAATAACTGAAAAGATAATGAAACCTACCTTGACGTAATTGAGTTTCTCTACAAGCTCTTCAACATGTGCGGTATTCATCTTTATCGTACGTCCATCTGGCCCTTTTCCAATATCTACGTACTCGGGTTTATCGTCGTGGCTGCCTGATGACATGTATTTTTCCCTCTGTTTTATTGGGGTCATTATCAACGTTGAATCTGATTTCCGATGAATCTGTTTATCTTCGGTAACGTTGAAAACTTTTTTGAATTCACGGAACCATCCTGGTTGAGATACTGAAGGCCATGTATAAATCGGAGAGTCGGTTTGTCTCCATGTCTTAGCAGGTATTGTTATTTTGGAAATTCCCTGTTCTGCTGCCTGGAAATTGAATAATTGAAAAAATATATGTGTTAGCGTAATTCTTACCTGAATGATTTGATGAATCGGGTTTTTACTCTCTTTTCTCATTGATTTCAAATGAGACCGAATTTTGTAGGGATCCCTTGCGGGCAGACAATGCTTGTGAATCATTGTGTATCTATCAGGAACTTCTTTATCAGCGCGCCTGGGAAGATGATGAAACTGAAGTATTGCGACTGCCAACATAACATCTTCTTCGTTCAGGAACGGTAGTGGTTTTTCAATATAAATCGGTTGGCACGGTGGTAGTAGTCCAGGATAGCGGATAGCTTCACTTCTAGAAAGCACAGCTGCAGCTTCTGGTCTCAGTGCTTGTCCTCCACATCGATCCGTATTTTGCGCATAGTTTAGCAAGCTATCATCAACTTTTGGAAAATCATTGATATCGTGGCAAGATGTGATAGCTGCATCTAGGTTTGACACATTGAAAACAGATGTCGATGGTTTTTGCTGCCGAATATCATCAAGCTCATTTAACATCAACTGTGAATCGTTTCGCACGTGACTAAGTGTGTCATCATGGTGGCAGGTGACAACAAATTGTGTTAGAAGCTGTACATGCTGTTCCAATTGGGTACGAAGCTGATCGATCTCTTGAGGACGGAATGTCACCGGAGCATATCTCAAAAGACTGCATGATTCGGCAGAGGAAGCTGTCAGTTCATCCTTTTGCGGAGTATCAATACTCTGAAATAACTTTAATTTACAATTTAAAGTTCGCTTATCAGCAAAACCTTTCGTTGTTGCCGTTTCTTTGGATCTTCTGCATGAGTAGTTTCTTCAGGGAAAATATTCAGAGGAATCTCTTTTTCAGCTAAAAGTGTATCCATCATCAACGCCTTCACTTCGTGCCTTGGAATCTGTGTAGTTTTATCCTGCCTCGTTTCATCCCAGTCTTCCACATTCAAATTATCGGCGATCACATTGTAATCTTCGTCTTCAGTGTCATCCTCAGTGTCGTCACCTGCTTTCTCGTCAAAGTCTAGAATTCGTACCAAATTTGACGGTGTATAATCATCTTAATTCTAAAATCCTTACCTTCCGCTGGGCACTTTATAGATATGACAAAGTTTCGATAATCATCATCATCCACAACATTATCCAGTGTATGTACCAATGCTGCTGATCCAGGCCGAGTGTCGTTTAGAGTCATTTGCAAAGAATGACTTTCATCTTGCTGAATAAAAATCATTAAAATAGCGTTTTACTCATTTTGAACGCACTTCCTGTCCTTCTCCAAACAGAAGTTCATTCAATTCTTCGTTATCGAGATCCGAAGATGTTTCAGCTTCTTCACCAGTTTTTTCTTGTTTCTCGTTATCATCTTTATCAACTTCTTTGCTTTCCTCTTCGTCTTCGTCGTCATCTTCTTCTTCTTCTTCCTCATCCAATTCTTCATCTTCACTTTCTTCTGCTTCTCCGTCATTTTGCTGAAAGATTTTGAGTTATTTAGAGCTTGTCATTTTCAACAAAAAAAAGTTACCCTTGAGCAGTCTCTCTCTTCGACGTAATCATCATCATATTCGTCATCTTCCTCATATTCCAAATCGAGAAAATTCTTGGGTCCTTTATCTTCTATACGGAGAGCAAATTTCTTGGGGGTGTTATTGGTTGATGATGCTACAGATCCGTCTGCTTTTTTTCTAGATCGCATGTTTCGAACACTAGGAAGATTGCTATCATTCTCCCGGATTCCTAACAACACGTCTATCGTTGCTGGGTACTTTATAAGATGGTGAAGAATCGATCGTACATTCAAAGATGATAAATTCATTGACTTTGCTTTATTTTCCAAAATTTTATCAGTCGCTTCTAGCAGCCTTTCCATTTCATTATCGTTTTTCTCTTCTATTGATTCTCTGAAAATAAAACAATGTATTTACATGAAAGTTTTCAGAGAAATTCTAACCTTGAAACATTTGGATCAAATGCTGACGACGTGGACGGCTGATCTTCTTCGGGATTCTGCTCCATTTTGCAACTGAAAGAGGAATACTTATTATTATCATTGAAAAACTAAATATCAAGTTTTAATTATAAAAAATATGTTCGCGCACTCTTTCTCTCCGCCTCTCATCTTTCTCGTGTACCAATGGAGCGCAATTGCAACCCGTGTTCAAAAACAGGGAGACCCCGCAAATTCCGGAGAAAAAAAATTTCCGGGGAAAGATAAACTCCGGAAGAACACTGGAAGTTGGCTGCGTGCCAGATTCAAAAATTTTGAAACGTGCTTTGAAAAAACGTGAAGTTAAACGTTGTTGAGTCGCTACTCACCGAAAAGCCGCGACGCGACCGCGCTACGCGTCCAAACTTGGCGCGCTCTCCAATTTTTAAAACTAAGTTTCCTTCCGCGAGGCCGTGCGC